AAACAAGTCTATTACTGGCGTACCCCACTGCTGAAAAATGTTGTGTAGGGTTGTCACCTCTATTTCCTATTCATGGTTGTGCAGGAATTTTGGCTGAGACTATTGGCCGTCGTGTTGTGTATTCCTGGTAGATAGGCTGCTGATATCAGAATGTTTTTTTAAATGCACCAGTTCCATTAACTTCAGTGCTTCCATATACAGGGAGTGAGACCAAGCGCCTCCCCGTCAGTTTATGTAGTACATACAGGTCATATTGTCCATCATGACCTTTGTATGCATGTCCTTGATCAGCAGAAGGAAATGGATGTATGAGTTTCTGACCACTCTGAGCTCAAGCAGATTCATGTGAAGGCATGTCTCTGCTGGGGACCATTGGCCCTGTATTATATGACCGTTGAGGTCCACTCCCCTTTCTATGAGGTCTCCAATCTCCCTTTTTCTTTGGTATCGGGAAGTAGCGAGAGTAGAAGCCTTTGCCCCTGAGATGCATGGGTAGAGGCTCTACAAGCTCACATGGTTCACCTCTTAGTGTAGTAGACTCTTGTGAGAAGGGTTCCTGAAGAGCGATGGGGAAGGGTATTTGGGAGGAGGAAGGGAGGAGAAGTGGATTGCATATCCATTCTGGACGATTTCAAACACCCACTTGTCGGAAGTTATCCGTTCCCAGGGGCTGCAGAATGGGGAGAGGCGATCTCTGAAAGGAGGAGAGGAATCTCCCAGTGTGTAGTAGTAGAGAGTGTTCTACGGGGACCTCAACCAACCCGTCAAAACTACCATTTTGATATTGATGGCTGTGACAAAGTGGTTTGTGGTCCCAACTGCTTCCGCTTAGGGAACCTCTTCCCTTGACGTTCATAGGGCCTCTGCGATTGCCACTGAGACATATATTGCAATGAAAAGGCCTTAAATTGTGGTTGAGGGCTATGCTTCCTTTTGTAGGCTGGAGTGTAAATTCCTAATGAGCGGAGGGTCACCGAAGAATCCTTCAGTGTGTGAAGGGATGCATCCGTCTTCTCAGTGAACAGCTTCATTCTCTCACAGGAGAGGTTCTCCACTGTCACCTGGACCTCTTTGGGGAAACCTGATGACTGCAGCCACGAAGCCCCTCTCATAACCACTGCAGTGGAAATCAAGCATGTTGTCCATACTTGCCGCATCTAGAGCGGATTGGAGGGACATCTTCGCTACCAGCTGACCCTCGCTGATTATAGCCGAGAATTGGTCTTTATGAGAATCTGACAGCTGATCAATAAAAGAATTTAACTTCCCGTAATTCTGGTAGTACTTGGCCAATAAAGCCTGGTAGTTAGCCACCCGGAACTGCAGAGAGGCAGATGAGTACGCTTTCCTGCTGAACAGGTCTAAGTATTTTCCATCCCACTCAGATGGAGTGGACCTAGATTGGTATTGGCGGCCCCTAGAACTAACTGAGTCCACTATAATAGAGTTCGGAGGCAGGTGAGAAAACAGAAACTTTGTGCCCTTTGCCAGCATAGTACTTTTTGTCTACCCACTTACAGATTGGCAAGGCGGAGGCTGGGGTCTGCCATACGATTCTGGCAGGGTATGGAAGCACCTCATTCACAGGGAGCGCACTCTGGCAGAGGTGGAAGCATGTAGAATATCTACCAGTTTGTGGTGGTGTTCAGTCACCTCGTGTAGTTGAATTTGTAGGGCTTCTGCAACCCTCTGGGCCAATCCTGAAATGACTTGAAGTCATCCACCATGGATAGCGGAGGAGGCATCACTGCCTCATCAGGCGAGGAGAATGATATACAGGCTTGAAGGGTGCCCTCTCTTTCTGCCTGAAGGCTCGATTTCCTCCATCAGTTGTATGGGAGGTTCCGTGGTCCTTGATGCTGTCGCTGAAGGAGGGTATCACACTGGGGGCCCTGGAGGTTTTCTGTCTCTGGGCTGGTCCCAGTATGGCCACTGGGGGTAGCTGGCTGGCAGCTGATACCAGGGATGCCCATACCATGGAGGTTGAGGGGCTGGCAGGCGGTATACCTGTTGCCCATGCTGGAGTTGAGGCCCGTATGGCAGGTATGAGGAGCGTTGGGAAACCAGGTCCTCTGCTCACTCTTCAACCCCTCTGAGGAGAAGGGCGGTGCATGGCACAGAGAGGCCATCGATTCCAATGCCCTGGGGGAGCTCAGTACCGGGACTCTGGCGCTGAGTATGGGTGAGTCCAGTACATCAGATATGGAGAGGCCAGATGCACACCAGAATTCTGTCGGTGCAGAGAGTGTTGGTGCCAGTAGCTGTCGTTGCGGATTGGCTTGTACTGCCCGAGACAGCAATGTGGGCCTGACCAAATAGTCCGCCCATGCCACGTGTACCAGTGTTGGTGCGGTTGACGTGATGATGCGGCCTTCCCCATGGTGGATTTTTTTATGGTTTTCACACCCTCTTGGTAACGGAGCTTCCTTGCCCATGTCTATCGCGTCTTTGGGCTGACCAACTTGCTCTGTCGGCTCAGTACCTTCTGAGCCCTGAATAGTCAATCTACTCAGCTTTGGTGCCGATAGTACCGATGATAAGGATGGAGCCGGGGAACATTTCCAGCTCAATCTGCGTTCTCTGCGGGGACTCAGACCTTTTCTTAAAGGTCTTGAGTGAGTGGCTTGGAATCACCTGCCTTCGACATAAAAGGTTGCAGTCGGTTGAAGGGCCGACTCCGTGAGTAGGAGTTTAAGCTTCAATTCTCTGTCCTTTTTGGACTTGGGTTTTAGCTGCTGGCATAAACCACACCTTTGTGGATTGTGCTGTTCCCCCAAGCAGCAAATGCACTGCAAGTGACCCTCTGTTACCAGGATGGATTCCTTGCAGGTCAGACACTTCTTGAAGCCTGGAGAGCCAGGCATAACCTTGTCCAGGAGATCCCAGGATAGGGTTTGTCTCCCACCATTCTTCTTTTCTTTTTCTTCTTTTTCCTTGTCTTTTTTTTGGCAGGGCAAACTGAAAAACCAAAAGTACTTAAAGAAAAAAAAGCTTCAAGTGAAGCTAAATTTGCAAATCCATGGAGCGTTTATGATCCGTGAACGGAGTGGTTGAGAAGGAACTGAGAGGGAAGTGCCCGTGCATGCTCGCTAGCCTCGAAGCGGGCGAGGAGCTGGGCACACCTATAACGGAGCACACTTAGGGACACTACTTGAAGAAGCATGTATTTAACTTTTACTTGGTCGGGCTAGAGGGCCCAGTGCCTTGCAGGAACAAGCCCTCATATTGTAAACACACACTTCACTCAGCAACCAGGAATGTTTGCAACTCTATATAACCATTTTAAACAAGAACAAGCTCTGATTGCAAAGAGTAACTCTCATGCCTGCTCAACCACTTACAACTGTTACCAGGAAATATCAACACTGTTAACTACATTTAGGAAAAGCAGACTCTTCTTGAAGAGGACAATTACATAACTCTTAAAATCGCCATCTTTGGGCACAGAAACAGAAGCCCCCCCGCGATGGGGATGATTCTCTATAAAGACATTTTTTTGTTTGTTTTTTTTGTGTGCAAGAAACTCAAGTTCTTATCCAAAAACTTATGGAATCTATAAGGAATGGATAGTGACTGCTAGTGTGTATGGGGTCAGTAGCTAGAGAACTATGTGCTCTCTACACACTGTATCCCTTGATTGTTTAACTTCTAATTTACTCCAAATGGAAGCCAGATTTCCTCAAAACATCCTCTATTCTTCAATTTCCCTACTTTTTCCTCCACCTATATGCAGTGTCTTTATTCTGACATTACTCTTCGTTTAGTAACCTGCCTCATTCAAAAAAAAAAAAAAAAAAAAAAAAAAAGAGAGTTTAGTGGAGCTATGCCTCAGTGTTTACATTTACTTGCCACATAAAACACTGAATTGCATCATACCTTTTTATATTGTCTAAACTCAAAAACAACTAAGGGTTGGGGGGGGGGGGTGTGCATGGAAACCGCTACAGCTTAAAGTGCTTTTTCTCCCCAATTACAATTTTTTATTTTTAAATATGTTGGGCTTTGATTTTGGTATTGATTAGTAAACTATGTGTCTTGAAATCATTATGTATCTTAAAGTTATACATGCACGCTAAGAAAAAGGTGCATTCTAATCTTGGACCAAACATAACAGCAGCTGTACTGGGTAAGACCAAAGGTCCATCTAGCCCAATATCCTGTCTTCCAGCAGTGGCCAATGCCAGGTTTTTCAGAGCAGTGGTTCTCAACCAAGGTAAACTTACCCATAGGGGTACACAGAGGTCTTCCAGAGGGTACGTCAATTCATCTAGATATTTCCTAGTTTTACAACTACAGGCTACAGAAAAAGCACTACTGAAGTCAGTACAAACTAAAATTTCATACAGACAATGAGTTGTTTATATTGCTCTATATACTATACACTAAAATGTGAGTACAGTATTTATATTCCAATTGATGTATTTTATAATTATATAGTAAAAATGAGACAGTAAGCAATTTTTCAGTAATTGTGTGCTGTGACACTTTTGTATTTTTATGTCTGATTTTGTAAGCAAGTAGTTTTTAAGTGAGGTGAAACTTGGGAGTACACAAGACAAATCAGACTTCTGAAAGAGGTACAGTAGTCTGGAAAGGTTGAGAACCACTGCTTCAGAAGGAATGAACAGAACAGGTAATCACCAACTGATCCATCTCCTGTCCAAAGGGATAGTCTAACCTGCTGCTCTTGCCTGACTCATTTACGCTGGTCTGTTTAGTTCCACTTTCAATTCCAAATGCATACTGATGAATAAGATTTAATTAACAATGGATGAATAAAACAGGAACGGGACAGCTGGATAAAAAGAGCAGTATGACAATTAATGGGGAAAAATATAAGACAAATGACAGTTTACTGAGATTTAGGTATACAGTATTTTCAAGTCTGCTTGACGGTGGCACAGTTATTTAAGGGGGGGGGGGGGGGGGGAGAAAAACACACCCTCGTTTAAATTTCCATTACTTTTAGAGCTAACTCAGGCAATTAAAAATTAACTCACCTGATGGAAGCACTGAAGACCCGTCTTTATTTTTTGCACTTATAGCATCAGTAGTCACCTAACAACAAATAAACAAACTAGATTTTTCACAGAAAACATATATTAGATAAATATTAAGTTCCAATGACATATTAGAACTATGTTTACGCTACAGATAACTATAAGTATTAGCTGAAGAAATAAAATATTAAAAATAGGTTATGGTATCAACAGTTAAAAGCACTAGAATAGGGACAAATTTCTTTTAAAAAAAAAAAGTAAAATTAGAAGAGATCAACTTTGGTGAGTAAAAGTAACTCACTTATGTTCTCATTCACTATAAATACATTAGAGCAGGGGTAGCCAACCTGCACCTGAGAAGGAGCCAGAATTTGCCAATCTACATTGCCAAAGAGCCACAGTATTATGTCAGCAGTCCCCATCAGCTCCCCTGCCCCGCCTGCCAGCCGCCCTGTGGATCAGTGCCTCCTCTCCCTCCCTGTGCCTCACCCAGGAGGCTCTGGGGGGTGAGGAGAAGAGTGAGGTGTGGCAGGCTCGGGGAAGGGGGCTGGAAGAGGCAGGGCCTTGGGGGAAGGGGAGAAGTGGGGACAGGGCCTGTGGCAGAGGCAGGGGTTGAACAGTGAGCATTGGAAAGTTGGTGCCTATAGCTCCAGCCCCAGAGTCAGTGCCTATGGAAGGAGCCGCAAATTAACTTCCGAAGAGCCACATGCGGCTCTGGAGCCACAGGTTGGCCACCCCGCGTTAGAGCATAGATAGCTAACTAAGGCACCAGTCCTACAAGCTGTTCTCTGTGGGAACAAACCTACTAATGTCCAGGGGGCTCCACATATCTATACAGTCAATCCATATGGAAGAGTTTGCAGGGTCAGGACCTAAATATTTGTTCCAATATCATAACCCCCATCCACTCTACCAGTGAACCAGCCTCAAAGCCCTGTTCATCTGTTTCTCCCACAAGTATCTCTGTGACTTTCTTTGTCATGCTTTCCTTACTGTTGTCTGCCAGGCAATTAACCTCATTCATCTAAATACTATTTCTTCTATTCCAACAATAAATGAATAATTAATACCAATTTTTTTTTTTTAATTAAAAAGCTAGATGGACAGGCCATTGTGTGCACATTGCATAAGCAGCACAGTTGCATTATTGCACTACTGTAACCTTTGTCCTCTTTCTCATCTCTCCCTACCATTTGGCACTCCCACTTGCTATGTCACATCTAAAATTTAGACAGCAGTCTCTTTAAGGTAGCAACTGGGACTTGCCTCTGTCAATGAAACACGCAGAATACTTATGGGCAATCTAAAACAATAGCACAACACAAGCTTCTACCTTACATGGTTTGCTTTATTAGTACCGTATTTCAGCTAAATGCCCACATGAGCTACATCCAATCACAATGTATCGGGAAGAAGATATTTAGTCAAATTCTAATTTTGTCACCAATTTGGCAGGTATCACACCACCCTACTTTTGGTAGCTCAGATCTTCAGGGCTGTCTCTAAAATTCAAGACTTTTCGTAGTGCCACAGGCATAGAGGTCATGATTGCATATAATATTGACAAGAATTCAAAAATATAAAAAACTTTGTAAAAACATTTTTGCTTGCTATGGGCAAACACTCCCCAACTCAAAACCACGAAAACAAGGAAAGCAAGGGTAAAGCCATACACCTATACACATCACTTTCTCATACAAACACACCCTCTCTGAAACCCCACACTGTCCCTACTGTAAGCAAATAAAAAATTATCAAAGTCTCAAAGTGACATCCAGACAATCGTAACTCTGCCTCATGACAGATGGCAATGATTCTGTGGAATTATTCTCTTTTCTAGTTTATGTGATTTTGTTTTGGGAGCCATTTGCCCTTTGGAACCTTAGGCTACGTCTACACTACCCGCCTGAATCGGCGGGTAGAAATCGATCTCTCGGGGATCGAATTATCGCGTCTCGTCAGGACGCGACATTCGATCCCCGAATCGACGCTTGTACTTCATCAGGGGAGGTAGGAGTAAGCGCCGTCGACGGGGGAGCCGCGGAGGTCAATTTGCCGCCATCCTCACAGCGGGGTAAGTCGGCTCCGATACGTCAAATTCAGCTATGCTATTTGCGTATCTTAAATCGACCCCTCCCCCCCCCCGTAGTGAGGACGTAGCCTTAGTCATTTTTAAGATGTTTGTTGTTGTTGTAATATTGAATGTTTACTAAATTTTGTTGCTATTAGTAAGGGGTGTTGTATAATTGTTCACTGTTTGCTAGGAATGGGGAAGCACAATAATTTAGAGTGATATTGTATGCATGTGGCATGTCACAGAGGTAAGGTTGTGTAGGTATTACCTTGGCTGATAAGTGTTAATTTGCTTGGGGAAGGGTTGTTAAAAATGATTAGGTTGCTAAAAAGCAAACACCCAAACTTAAAACCACACAAACAAAACAATACAATTTTATTAAAATGCTAATGTTTAAATTTTGCTGTTTTTAAAAAAAATGAAAATTGAAGATACTGTTAAGATGTAGAGACCAATCAAAGTTAAATTGTCCACAAGGGGTCGTTCTGCTCCCCCCTTCATACCCTTAATCTTCTCACTGAAAGTTCAGGCTAGGGCAGCTGTCAGAACGGCACAGGTGTGCTCCTCAGTCTCTAATGTATCAGCTCCCCCACATTTTTCTGCCCACTCCAAGGCTTCTGTGATATTTAAGAGGGGGAAGGCAGAAGGGGAAACTGATCCCCAAGAGGTTAAGCATCACAGCTCTTAGATGTATTGCTCTGGCAGCAACCCCAGCCATCTAAGGGTTTCAGTATGATAACCCTCAGGCCAAGTCTCATAGTGGGGAGGGTGAGGATGAGGGGAAAGAGGTACTGGGGGTTGAATTTGTGGAGAGTAGATGAGACATCAAAGGGAACACAAAGAGGGAGCCTAGATCATCCCTCCAATTTCCTCAATTACACTATTGCTCAGTAATCACAGTGTTTAAGAAACTCTTAACTTTGACTGGATTCTATAATGCACCTTATTCTACAGAGAAATTTCCAACTCTGCACATTAAACCAATATTGACCCCTTATCTTCTAAGGGGAACAGTAGGTTTTCTTCAAAAAGCCTAGCCAGGAAGCAAATAAATGTGTGGCTGTTCACCTTCTACACTCGTGCTTTTTTCCCTTCCCTGATATCCTTTACATTATACAAGTTGAAGACTTTTCTGCTTCAAATAGAGAGTCAGGCTGTACTTTATATTCTTTTCAAACCTAAACCAGGAGGGCTATTTTTCAAACAACAATGTTTGCAGGAATACATGTGATACTGTTCTATGCTTATTAAATATTAATGAGTGGCCCCTTTGTTCTCATACTATGGAACAGAGTGAAGACTGTATTCCTCATGATTCTGAACTTATCCATACTTCTCCCCCTCACAACTCTTTTCTTTTCCAATATTTGTCTTCAGTCAAATTTAACTTCTCTTTAAAGAAAAAAAATTAGCAGCTCAAATGGAATTTTACTACATAAGAAAAAATACCATGCCCTATGAAAATTTTAATATGCTTTTTATATTTTTTTTAAAAATTAGTCACCTGAATTTAAAGTTCAAATTAGGCTTGACTTGTACATTGTCCTCAAATCAGAATGGCCAAGTTTGAAATTGCTCTTTCAATTTACTGTAAATTTGAATCTCTTAGCACACTGAAATAAGCACATATAATGCATTGACAAGTGTTTTTTCCCCCAATGTCCACTAATTTCTCTCCCATTTTTCTTTAAAAATATTAGCAGTTTAATTTTAAATTTACATTAATCCAGTGTTATAATTGAGCTTTTGTGTGTACAACTCAGTAATCAATTATAGTTCTTAAAGCAACTGAAATGTTGCCACCCCACCGCGCCCGCCCCCCCCCTCCACACACACGAGATGCTCACCATAAAACCCCCCAAAATATTATGTATGCATGATAAGGCCAAATATTTGCACTTGCATATAGTTAACTGTAGTTTAAATAAAACAACTAGAGGACAGTTTAAAATATTATCCATCTACATTTTGCATGGATACAACTATACAATTTCCTAAGATATACCAAGTCTTTGAACAGTAGCTTAAAGAATATTTAAAAGTTTGTTACAGTCAGAGTTTATTGCAACACTGATTATCTGAAATAAGACAGTCTCTCTCTCCCATATCAAGCAATGGAAGCTCCTCTTTTATACTAGTTCTTTAAATTCACACCATTTTTCTAGGACACTGAGTTTCAAAAGGCACTTGTTTCCTTTCTATAATGTATTATTGAAATTCAATTTCAAATTCATATTAATTTTATTATCTAAACTGCATTAGAATATTACTCCTTTTTAATTCAGTAGTACAGAAAGTATTTATCAGTTTAAAGGAGACAATGTATACTGACCTGTTTTACAAAGATGTTCCTAGTTCAACGACAAGTGGCATGTTTTCACAAGAGGCAGTCTACCCACAAATACATAAGAACTGAAGCTTTCAAGTCCTCCTTTTATCCTGTGTATAATACCTCCTCTTTTCAATAAGAGCGTTCCAATTAATTCATTGCTCAATCTTACTTTCTATTTTGCTACTCTTTGCTCTTCTGATATGGTTTCATTTCTCAGTAAATGACTCAGCCTTGTTTCTAGCCAGACCCGTTTTCCCGTTGCTAGGCAGAATTTCTTCCACGTTTACATAGTAGACAAATGTATTTTTACACTGCTGTTAGCTCCACATTATGAATCATCATGCCTCCATTAGTATGCAGCATAACTAACCTGCTAATTTCTAGTAGTTGATAATGTTAAAGGGAGTCAGAAAGAGGCAGAAAAGTTGAATTTAAAAGGAAAGAATGCCTTCAGAGAGTAACAGCTTTTTGTTCAGTTTCATTCAGTTTGAGCATACAGCTTTATCCCGGTTCTAGCGAGAGTTGAGCAAATAAGGCCTTGTTTATCCCAGGCCCTGTAGCCAGTGGTGTATTTCCAACAGTGTAAACACACGTTACACGAATGTAATATGATTTGTACCAGCCAAGAGTTGTTGCAAGACAGGATAACTGAACCTTTACAATTCCCATCTACACTAGAGGTTTGTACTGGAACAGCTACACTGCCATGTATTTTTTCCCACTGAAGTATACCAGGCCTAAATTCTTAACATAGAGATTTACTCTGCAATCATCATTACTTATTCCTATATGTTACTAAGGTATCGCTTTCTAGGGAATTTACAATACACTTGCCAGTGATTTACATCTGAAGTCAATACTAGGTGTCCTGTTACAGATTGTTTTCAGTCTTTCCTATCTATTCTCTAAAATTTATCTAATGTCTGGTCTTGCTGTTCAGGTACAAGCAGTGTTGTTTCCAGTGATGTGAACTGGAATTTCCCACCTGAACTTCATTGCAAATCTGTCTCGGTATTTGGTGTTTTCCTGAAACCCGCACCTCCTGGAATCACATTAAAGCATGAGAACCTCAGGTTTCATATTAAAAGTATCTGGTGTGAAATCCTGGCAAGACACCCATTGATTTCAACTGGACCAGGATTTTTACCCATAGCTTTTATGGTTGCGGAAAAGAGTTTAAAAATGTAAACTGAATGCACACTGAACACTCAGAAACAGGACAGCAAATTAAAAAAAACCTACTTTTTTGAATGCTTGAGGTTGGAAATACTGCATTTTTGTTCACTAAGCACCCCACTGTTTGTGGCAGTACATAATGACTGGCCAAACTCCTGTGGCTGAAGATTGGACTGTGCCAGGAGGCAAGTAGGGATGGTTTTCTGGCCACTGAAGCAGTGTCAGTTAGGATTCTTTCTTCCAATGAGCCCCGAACAATCCCTGTCTACTCCAGCTGGGAGTCTCTTCTCTTCCCCCAGCACCAAACTCCACCCCTGTCCAATCAATTTCCAACTATTCCTTCAAATCAGGAAAGAAGGGCAAGGCTGTACACAGTTTGCATCAGGAGAGAAATCTACATAGAACTCAGCTTCATGATGCAGCAGGACAGATGAGCTGAATAAAGCTACTAGCCCTTCAGGAGGGCATATGGTCACCTAATACTCATCAAAGTTGGGATAGTGAGCAGTGAGCCAAGTTTTGTCAGCTCCAGTGTATCAGTGCTTCCGGGACAGTTTTAAGGACTCAAGAATACAAACTGTGTCTATCAAGAAAGTCCACAATTTTTATAAAGCACGTTATTGACAGTAATTTCTAATCAGTAACAGTACAATTTAAAGATTAAAGTTACCCTGATAATGTGTTTTTGATGACAGCTGTGGTCTTTAGAGTCTGCTTTTATTTTCCTCCTTTCTTTGTCCATTTCTTTTGATTCTTGAGACATGAATAAATCAGACCCTGAAGAACCATATTCTCTAAGGAAAATAAAATGATGTTTTCAATGCTGGTAAGTCATATAGGCAATACTTAAGACTATAGACTGTATATGCATTGCAAAAAATCCCCATAGATAGATGAATCACAGATAGCTTAGACATATTTAAAGAGGTGGTCATGTAACCAAGCTACCAAGCTCTTCAAAGTTCTTCAGACTACTGACCAGCAAGAAAAGAACTAAGTGTCCAGCACCTCTAATCAAATAGCAGAGTGATGTTTTCTATAAAGAGTGTACATTTATACGGTTTCTGTCTACACATAAGTCATACTCTATATGCCATAGCAAATGTTGCCTTCGCAATACAGAAAAGGAGGTTATGGAAGGAAGTTTCTTCCGGTCATTAATTTTTTATAGAAAACTGATTTTAATTATAGTTACTGCATTCTTTTTTATAATGGCACATGCCATAAAGCTTACAAGTGAAACAATAAAATCCAATGCATCTTTTAGAGAAAAAAAGTTTAGTCGATAGGCGTGCACTTTAACACAACTAAATAAACAGTGACTAAGGTGGAGGGGGAACAAAAACACTTGACAGGTCAAATCCTATCTTGTTCTATACACAGACCCGAAAGATACATTTGAGTAGACTGAGATTGCCCAATAGATGTACATGCTAAACTTCAGTGATGCTAAAAATTAATCTACGATTAATACATATATATGATTGGTGCTTAATTACTCCATATATCTAGGATTCAATATGGTTTTAACCCCCAGGGATTTTCTGTGGTTTAGCTGAATTTAAATCAAGACTTTTCATTCTTTAAATGTAACATATTTCCCAATCTGCTTCCCTAATAGCTACAGTACTGCAACAAAGATAAACAGAAGGAAAGTTAGTTGTTTTCAGGACTTTTTAGATTTACAACCTGGGGAAACTAAAAAACTAAAGAAAACAAATCTAGAGGTAGTAGTAGTCAGCACAAAACAAATGAAATATATTTTTAATTACTTTGTTTCCTACACTCCTCCAAGACTACCCCTCATTCTGATTAACAGGCATTAGACACTGCTGGGTTCAGATACTTGCCTCTTTCCCCTTTATTTTTACTTGTTGGTGTATAACATAGTAATTCAAGCAAACTCTGTGCTCTGTACTATTTAAACAAACATTAAATTAACTTTAGATTAATTGAGTTATTTTTTATAAATAAAAATAAATCTGGCTTTAACTTACCTTTTCTCAAAAAATGATTTCTTTGTTCTCTGTTTACTTGCTTTCCGACCTATAGAAATTTAACACAGAAAGTACTGATCCAGCAACTGAAAAATGTCATTTGAAAGTAAAGTTGCAGTTTAAGGTACTTTGTTGTATTCAGAAAGTATCTTGAAGACAGAAAAAGCTACCTTTAATTTCTTCCATTTCCTTCCTTAACTTTGTGTTTTGCAGAATAAGATCCTTAACTCGCTCAGGAATATTCTTGCAGAGTTCCTGGGCTCTCTCATTAGCTTCCAGGGCCCATTCATGTTCTCCCAGCATTGAGAGAGCCTCACAGAAGCGATAATGACCCTAACGTGAATATCAATTTAAAATTTTTAATAAGTGATGATTCTTTCAAAAAAGAAAAATACTAATCTATATCCAAAAAGAGTGTCTTAGTAGACTGAACAAGTTAAAGTTTTTATATACACTCAGTAACATACAAGTTACTGTCTGTTCTAGCCAACTGTTGAATGGCCAGTGTTACATAAGATTTGCCGCATCAAAACAGACTAATGACCCATCAAGTCTAGTATCCCATCTCTGGCTTCAGAGAAAAGTGAAGGGGCCTTTCCCTAATCCCCAATACCACTTTTGCACTTGAACAATTGTGTAATTGTCCAACATAATACGTGTTTTATTTATCACAAGTGTTTTTAATATGTACAATATATTCTCTACCCTCCAGCCTCATGCATACAAAAACATCACCCAATAATATTCTTAAAAATATATCTCAATCTAACTTTTAATTTTTTTTTTTTTTTAAGTTTAGTCTGATCACTGAGCTGAGCTCCTGCCACTTCCATGAGAGCTAACTGGAGCGGAGAACAGTCTGCATCTAAAAGGATTGTGCCCTCATATCAGACACAGTGACCTTTTATTTAGACCACCTGACATTTTTCTTTCTATTGTAAAGAGAGTTGCCAAATTTACATTAAACTAACCTTTGGCCAATTAGGCTTCAAAATAGCAGCCATTTTTCCATCAAAAAGAGCTCTCCTTTAAAAAAAAAAAAAAAAAGGAAATATTTATTAGTATTGCAGTAATACCTAGAATTCAGGGCCCCACTGTGCTGGATACTGTACAGACATAACAAAGAAAGAAGTCCTGCCCAAAAGAACTTTTAATTTAAGTGTAAGACTATAGACAACAGGTGTATATAACAAACTTACGGAGGGGGACTAAAAAGGAATAATAGGACAATACTGGTTAGCATAAGAAGCACAGCACACCAGCTGCCTAACCATCAAGTTTTTTGTAGCCATCAAGACAGAGAGGAGTTGTAAGGAGGGATCTGAAAGTGGACAATAAGGTGGCCTTGTGGCAATCAAGACAGGTATCATTTGTGCATTAGACGCAGGGTTCAACATCTTGATACCATGCAAAAGGACACTAAAGGTGAAAACAAGTATTTTGATACAGTGGAGAATGGGTGAGACTATGGAGGGATGCGAAGAAGGGTTGATGTGGTCAAAACAAGCCATCGAAATTGATTGTTACATCAGCATTTTAAATGGCTATAAGTGGGGCAAGACAGGATTTGTTAACACCAGAAAGGAGGACGTTGCAGTGACTGGGGGTATGTCTACACTACAGGATTAATCCGAATTTAGATAATTCGAATTTGGGAAACAGGTTGTATAAATTCGATTGTGCGCGGCCACACTAAGCACCTTAATTCGGTTTTTAACCACATTAATTCGGTGGTGTGCGGCCACACTACCCCATTAACTTAAACACAGTAATTCGGTGGTGTGCGGCCACACTAACCCTAATTCGAATTAACAAAATCGATTTAGGCGCTACTCCGCTCGTCGAGGTGGAGTACAGAAATCGATTTTAAGTGCCCTTTAATTCGAATTAACTGGCTCTGTAGTGTGGACGGGTGAAGGGTTAATTCGGATTAACGCAGCTAAATCCGAATTAAAGTCCTAGTGTAGACCAGGCCTGAGATGCAAGATAAAAGACAACCTGGATGAGAGATTTAGCTGTGTGGATAGAAAGGAAAGGCAGGATTTGAGGATTTATGCAGGAAGTAGCAGCAAGATTTAGACATAGTTTGGATGTGAGGATCTAGACCAGGGGTTGGCAACCTTTCAGAAGTGGTGTGCCAAGTCTTCATTTATTCACTCTGATTTAAGGTTTCGCGTGCCAGTAATACATTTTAATGTTTTTAGAAGGTCTCTTTCTATAAGTCTATAATATATAACTAAACTATTGTAGTATGTAAAGTAAATAAGGTTTTTAAAATGTGTAAGAAGCTTCATTTAAAATTAAATTAAAATGCAGAGCCCCCCGGACCAGTGGCCAGGACCCGGGCAGTGAGAGTGCCACTGAAAATCAGCTCGTGTGCCGCCTTTGGCATGCGTGTCATAGGTTGCCTAACCCTGATCTAGACAGAGGGATGAGTCAAAGATGACACCCAAATTATGGTCTTGAGTGAAAGGGAAATTGAGTCTATGGTGACTTAAAGCGGGAGAGAAGAAGGCCTGTATGGGGGAAAATCAAGACCTCTACTTTGGTGATGTTGAGCTTCACCTGACAACTATACATCCACAAAGAAATGCTAGAGACACAAGATGAGATTTTTAGCTTGGACAGGAGACAGATCAGGAGTGGAGAGGTAAATCTAAGTCATCAGTATAAAAACACTGAAGTCATATTTATGACTAGGAACACTTAGGAAGAAAAGGAGATGAGAAGGACAGAGCCGTTTGGGATTTCCACAGAAAGTCAGAGGGAAATGAAGAGGATTCTTAATAAAATGCTAAAGGAGTGGTTGGAGAGGACAGTCATGAAAGCAGAGGGAAAACAAAGTTTAACGAAGAGCATGGTTAACAATGTCAAAAGTTAAAGACAGTGATGAGAGAGTACTGGTTCTGAGGTTTTTTTTTTTTTTTTTTTTTTTTAGAGATTTTAGAGTTCATTAGAGATTTTGGCAAGAACCGTTTCAGTGGAAGGAAAGCAAGCCTGACTGAAGAGGGTCTACAATGGCATAGGAGGAGAGGAACTCCAGACAGCTGGAGTAGATAATGCATTCAAGTAGTTTGGAAATGAAGGGGAGGAGGGGCAATAGCTAAAGCAGCAGGTAGGGTCACAGTGGGTTTTTGTTTTTTTAAGATGAGATAAACTAAAGCATGCTTGTGCTGCCAGGGAAGGGAGCATGATAAGAGTGAGTTTGAGCACCAGGGAAATGGAGGGGATCAGAGAGGGGGTAAGGTATATCAGGAGATGGGATGGGATCACTGGCACCGGTGGAAAGTTAGAGGAAAAGATCAGATAAACTTTAGTTTGTATTTGCTACAAATTATATCTATTCAAAATATACATGTTTTCTAAAGATGATGTTTACATCTTTCAAGTTCTCAATCACATTCTCCTTGTGGAATTTCCTTTCAAATGAATGGAAATTCAACCACACAAGATAAACACATTTGCTGGATGGCTCTGCTCAAACAGCAATAAAATAGAAGGTTAAAGATGAAACTTAAATGTGAAGCCTAACGAAGAACTGGGATGACAACACAGCTCACACTTATTTTTTTTTACAGCTATTTTCAGTCTGCCTGAAAACAACCAGTTTTTCCTGTCTGCTTTATACTGTGCCATTATTACTTCAGGAAACCAAGTATTGTATCTTCGAGGGATTAAAATACTACTTTACCAAGTATACTGTCAATTCAGAGTTTGCAATTACAGGAAAATTCAGCATTTCAGATCCCAGAAATGATTTACTTACCAGTATTGTGTAGTGAGAAGAAAACAGAGAGCCCGGTTACCGTAAAGAAGATGGTTTTCAGGACTTAAAAAAAATTATTAAAAAGGTATCAGTTAATAAAATATATTACTTCTGAACAGTATAAAATGACTAATATAAGGAAAACAGTTTTAATTTTTTATTAACAACTTCATTTCCTCAATATGTGCAAGTCTGTGACCCAATCCAGCAAATATTTACAAACATGCTTAATTTTACTAATCTGAATAGTCCCATTGATTTCAGATGTATAATCTCGGCCAAGGTACAGAACTCAGTCAATTCTGACAGTTCCTGCCCCCCACCCCCCGTTAAAAACAGCTGAGAAAGATCTAAATACTCAGGGGAGGAAGGAATGGGGTATATCAGAAGCAAAGCATTAGTGAAGATAAATTGCAGCTCAGCTCCGTTGAACTTATTGAAGTGCAGTTCAAATCCTTTGAGAGGGTACATTTACCATGATTTTCTCTTAACTCAACTTCACTTTTTCAGGCTGGAAAAGGTGCCTGAGGTGCAGAAAGGCCAGCTGTACTGTAATATATACCCCACTTTATTTGGTATGGAAATTAATGTTTTTAGGCGAATTTATTTTTGTTTCTGAACAATACACTAATACAACTACTCCATCAAGCACTCTTGAATGAATTACTGTAGACTTCCTCTGTTCCTGGATCAATCCAATGCTATCCAGAGGAGTTGAAGCAAAAAATCAGCACAACAGCAAAACAGATTTTTCATTTGTGACTTGTACTATTGCTTAGGACTTGGTTTAACATAGCAAACAAAGAAAACAAGAAGATATTTTATTCTATTTTGACTGTTGTTCTGGAGGTTCTCCCAGCTAGCCAGGAATCTTCTTGCAGCAGACTGACAGCTAACGAAATTTTCTGATTGAAAGAGGAAGACTAGCCTTGTGTTGTAGGCTCTACCACGATGCCTTCAGACACAAATACTTTTTTTATTTACTACAGAAGTAGGGAGCATTCTATCACTGAAATATAGGAATGTCTAATCTGCAAGAATTATAAGGGGTAAAGTGAACACTGATGAGTGCTAGGCCATAGGGTTTTAGTGGTAGATGCTTAAATAACAATTTTCATAAAAATGTCACTTTTCAAATAACAAACATATCACTGCCCCTAACTACTGAGGAAATCAGAATACCAAAACGGTGAGAAAAGAAATTAGCTTCCTCACACTCATATAAAGGAAGCAATTTTCCAGCCTGTGGTTCTCAAGTTTGTTGTCTATGATTATGACTATAATTCTCCACTCAGTTCTATGAGCAACTAGGGCTTCCACAAGCATCTACAACAATGTTGCATCTTTTTCATTGCTGGACACATGTGAAGAAGCTGCAGAAAACAATGAGAACACCTTGAGTATGCAATACATAAACTATGTTTTAATTCTATATATCGCTGTCCTAACCATTTTACAAGCTGGCTTGTACTAAATAGTTTCTTCATCTCAGGTAGGTGTGAACTGGCACAATCTACAAAGGCTTCTCTCTAATATAGACAGGAGCCCAAAAGCACTGCTGCTATAGTTGTTTTCAGTCCTCCTTCTGACATCTCACAGTGCAATGCCTCACACCTGAGCAACAGCAACAGCATTGGGCACTATGGGAGGTGTTCTTTGCTGTCTCAGCATGTAACCATATATGTATAGTTGTGTTTTGTGAAGACATAGCAAAATGATTTGGGCAAGAATTTCCAAAGGGGCTTTAGGGAGTTAAGTGCCCAACTCCCACTTCAATTGTACTAGGCATATTAATTGAATATCTTCTAAACAGCATTTAATAGGTGTCTCTAGTAATCAAAGAAACCATTCCTGAAACCCAATGGGAATCAGGGACTCAACTCCCTAGGGCCCCTTTGAGAATCCCAGTCCTTATTAAAATGATCAAACAAAAATACAATTCCTGTGTGGAGGCCTTGGACTCTTGCAAGGACACATGATGCAATAAAAATGAAATGGTTTCTGGGACAGTTTATTTGATTAGCATAGCCATCTAAAGTAAAACAATATGCCCAGTGCAACTGAGTTTTCTGAATAATAACAGTAGCAACACCGGATTGCTTTGACTCTCAACAGCTTTAATTCTGGACAAAAGGTTAGTCACCCTGTTTAATAACAGGTTCTTCGAGATGTGTCCCCCTATGGATGCTCCACTTTACGTGAGTCTGCATCCCTGATCCAGTGATCCAGAGATTTTTGGTAGCAGTGCCGTTAGGGCCGCATATGCGCTCCCTCCATCTCGTACCACTCTTGGCAGCTATACAGCGCTGTGCAGCCAAACTGCCTTCAGTTCCTTCTCTACCGCAGAGTCCATGTAGAAAGAGGAGGAGGGTGGGTAGTGAAGCACCAATAGGTACACACATCTCGAAGAACCTCAATTACTGCACAGGGTGAGTAACCTCTTCTTCTTCGAGTAATGTCCCATATGGGTGCTCCACTTTCGGTTACTGTAGAGCAGTGCCCCTGGTTGCAAGAATGGGGCTTCGGAGTTGGATTCATGAGCAATGATAAGACAAATCAGTCCTAAGAGAGCATCTGATGATGAGTCCTGCACAATTGCATAGTGCTCTGTGAATGTGTGGGTGACACCCAGGTGGCTGCTTTACAAATGTCTGTGACTGGTACATTGTTCAGGAAGGCTAGAGAGGTGGAAATCGATCTTGTGGAGTGTGTTCCAGTTCCCGGGAGGCGAGGGGGGTTGCAAATCATGCTGACTATAGCAGAAGTGAGTGCAACTGGAAATCCATTTTGAAAGCCTTTGTTTAGATATGGCTGAGCCCTTTGATCTTTAAGTAATAGAAAGGAACAATGCTGATGATTTTCTGAACAGTTTAGTTCTTTTGAGACAGAATGCTAGCGCTCTTCTAAAGTCTAGCATGTGGAGCAGGGCCTCCCTTTTATTGCATGTGGCTTGGGGAAGAACGATGGGAGGTATAGGCTAATTCAGGTGGAATGAGGAAGGTATTTTTGGTAAGAACTTTGGATGTGGTCATAACATAACTTTATTTTTAAAGAAAACTACATATGGGGGAGGGGGGGTTTACAGCATGAGAGCCCCTATTTCCTCCACTCTTCAAGTAGATGCAATGGCCACAAGAGAGTGGGGGAGCCGCCACATTTATTTATTTACAAATAAAATATGCAGAATTTTAAAAGATTGTGCAAAGAATTCTTATTGTTTTGGAGCAGAATTTTTAATTTTTTGGTGCAGAATTCCCTCAGGAGAAAATAACAGATCTATCACTATAACAACAACAACACTAAAGAGTAACACTTTAGATATACTAAATAGGCTCTGCTAAGGGCTCCATCTCAGGCCAAAAGCGGTTGAGAAGGCACTGAAGGCGGTTTGGCCGCTTAGCGAAATATAGAGCCGCCAAAAGCAGCCCAAGACGGCGGGAGTGCATAAGTGGTCTGAATGAGCACTGCTACCAAAAATCTCCAATGACAGGCACAGGGACACAGACTCACCTAAAGTGGAGCACTCCTACGGGAAGCTACTCAAAGAAGAAATCTACTTTACTAGTTGGCACACTTTACTAGTTGGCACACAATCTGAGGGGAGACATTAGAAAGGCATCAATCCTTCCAAATGCATGCCTACAATATGTGTCAGACCCAATACTCCCTAAAATAGGAATCTTTATGAAGTTCACAGTCTTTCCACAGACACAACTGAATTTGCCAAAAGCAGCACTTGCTTGTGATAGCACTGGTAACAAATTTCAGCAAACCAATGTTTTGTTGCTAGTTCATTTTATAAGGCATAGCATTATACACTAAATAAATACTGTACCATTTGCATGAACAATATTTGTTTTAGTTTTACTTTTATTGTTTCTCATTTGAAGTCATAACTAGAAAACAATTTCCACAACCACCCAAAGGATGACTTCAGGGGAGGAATAAGCAACACATATAGATGAAAGTGAGCATGTTCTCAACCCCTAAATATCCCACTGGTGCCAACACTGGGTCAGCCCCATTAATGCCAGCAACATTGGGAGCCCTATTGTAGGCAGCTATCAGCTCCAGTAGCTGTTTTCAGTAGTGTATCTTGTTTTTCTGATGGGACCATGTTTAACACACAGCACTGAAAGTGGCTTCTGAAGCTGACGGGCCATTTAGCCTACAGCTACCAACACTGTTAGAGCCGTTGTTGCTAAACTAGTATTAGTAATGATGGGCATTTTTTTTAAAACTTCACTAACAGACACAGATAAAAAGTGTCTTTAGTACTAAGACAGGAAACAGAGGTAATATAAATGTAGACAAAACTCTGTGGTAAGTCAGTTAGGCATCATCTGATTTTTAAATGAGTGGTCAACAAACCAAGACAAGTCAGAAAAAGATAAAAATGTAACATAAACAAAGATGATCCAGTTAGTTGACTTAGTTCTTACCAATATTCTATGGCTTTAGTGTATGAGCTTATAGCAAAATCAAGGTTCTCTTTGGAAAACTCACAATTTCCTCTCTTTTTCATAAATTCACTTTTCTGTAAGATCAAGAAAAACAAATATGCAACCAATCAGAATTTAACCCAACTGTGATGCGAACTATAAAAGCATTTAACAATATGTATTTAAGTGTCTCGTCTGTCTGTATACCAAATGTTGAAATGTACTCATAACTAATTGATCTGGAGCAGTGTAATTATCTTAAAAGGCATGCAACTCCTAATAAGTGTTGGCATATGATCCTATGAGAGGAATACTTATCTTTGGTCAATAGTTTCCCTACAAGTTTCTGTAACTTTGACTTTTTTTTTTTTAAATCCACTTTAGTGTTTTGTCCTACCTTTATACAGTTTTCACAACTCTGAGCTTCAAACTCTTCAACTAAATTGCAGTCTTCCAATGCAACTTTAGTTATATAATGTTTATCTGTAGGCAGAAATTAGTACGGTAAGGCAAAAAAACAAAAGCCAAACAACAATAGGTTTAACTTCTTGCTTTTAACAATCATAGTATATTCTATAACTGGAAATAGGATGTGTCTAGTTTTGTTTTTCCCCTCATCAACAACAGAAATAAGCTAAAACAAAGTAATACATTTCAAACAGAATGTGGATTATTTTTGCTTCCACTGTTGCACAAAAAATGTAAGTCCCAATTGAATTCAGCAAGGTACTTAAAATTACGAGCATAAAGCCTAACTTCAAGCATGCGAGCAATCTCAATGAAGTCAGTAACACTATGCACATATTTGAAGCCAGCATGTACTTAAGTACCTTGCTGAATCAAGGACTAAATGATCCTCCCTTTGTACTAAAAGCCCAAATCCTGACATCCTCAGCCTACACCTCAGTGCAATGGAGCCTTTTGCTACTACAATAGAAATTTTTTCTATCATAAGAGTTAAATTCTCATATATCTGAATAATTTATTCAGAATTTTCATGAAGCTGACACAGATATTATTCAAGTCTAATCACAGTAATATAACAAACAGATATAAATGTTTTAACCATCACAGCCATGTAGTAGAATGAACAGCAGTTAAGAGTTTCATTAAGATGACAAACTAACAATCTTTCATTCTACCACTGTTGTATGCCTTAAAATATCCACACAAAATGGGTGTAAAGTTACCTATTAAATCCGTTACCATTTCAAGACTTTGGGAACTAAGAAAAATATTAGCCAGATAATGAGTACCGGAGGGTACTCCCAAAGAGCTTACATTTAAAACCAAGTGGGCTAATACTTTAGAGCTAATTATTTACTAGTTTGGAATATTTTAAAATGAAAAAAAATAAAGAGCGTTTATAAAAATATCTGACAGTTTCAGTATATGGGAATGTTGTCTTTTAATGGAGGCACCCATCCTACCCACATGACATCACAAGAGACAAAGCCTCCTGAGCAAGATGACTGCAAAATTTCTGATCCTATCCAATAGTCAGACTGTCTCCAAATGTTATGAAGTTGTTTTAACTTTGAAACTGACTTCTCACTAGTTTCTATGGGACCAAAATTATCAGTGTCCTAATCTGCCTAAAGTCACTGTCAAACTTGTGGACTCCTGTTTAATTTTTTTTTTTTTTTTTAAACTATACTTCAGATAATTTTTAGAAAGTGCTAAAGAATCACTTCTTTATAATTAGATATAAACTCTTATATTTGTTTTGTTTTTTGTTACACTGAAGTCTTCCATCAAATGTTAGACCAGCCTTGTTTTCTTTAATAGTTATTCTTGAAAAGGAAGCACCTGAGAGACTAACAAATTTATTTGAGCATAAGCTTTCATGGGCTATAAACCCACTTCATCGGATGCATGCAGTGCAAAATACAGTAGGAAGATATATATACACAGAGGACATGAAAAAATGGGTGTTGCCATACCAACTATAACGAGAGTAATCAGTTAAGGTGAGCTATTAATCAGCAGGAGAAAAAAAAATTTTGTACTGATAATCAGGATGGCCCATTTCCAATAGTTGACAAGAAGGTGTGAGTAACAATAGGGGGAAAAATTAGCATGGGGAAATTGGTTTTACTTTGTGTAATGACCCATCCACTCCCAGTCTTTAGTCAAGCCTAATTTAAATGGTGTCCAGTTTGCAAATTAATTCCAATTCTGCAGTTTCTCATTGGATTCTGTTTTTGAAGTTGTTTTGTTGGAGTATTGCGACGTTGAGATCTGTAATCGAGTGACTAGGGAGGTTGAAGTGTTCTCCGACTGGTTTTTGAATGTTATAATTCTTGACGTCTGAGTTGTGTCCATTTATTCTTTTGCATAGAGACTGTCCGGTTTGACCAATATTCTTTTTGCTGATACAGACTAACACGGCTACCACTCTGAAACTTGAAAAGGAAGGCAAGAGAAAATATGCTGGTTTATCATCTAAGAAAAAAAGTACCTCACGCCAAGTTGGATTCAGATTCAATTGTCACTGATGACGGAACACATCCCAATTATCAAAAGCTTATTTTTAATACAACAGGGGATATCATACCAATGGCAGCTGCAGCAAGAACGATGATAAACATTGGAGCAAAACTGGATATTTCAAAGGAAAGACTGCTAAACTGTTTTTCTAGACTTAGAATAGCTGACAAAACTGAAGAGTGGGTGACTTCACGGAAAAATTAAGTATACTGCATTTAGAAACTGTTTCACTTAGCTTATAATCAAGTTCTGTCTTTTCCTTTGTTATTTTCTAAGAGTTCTTCTGGCTCTTGTTAATTATTCCACAAATGAGGGTATGATATTTAAGATAGTCATTTTCACAGCAATTGATTGTATCACTGACTAAGAGTAGGATGTCAATGAGGGAATAAGTAGCAGGAATGGATAAAGTCAAGATAAGAATATGAATGAACAACATTAGAAAATAAATACGTAAGTATGAGAGAATAATCCTTCTGAACTGAAAAAAATTAATTTTCCCATGATGCCTCAACTGCTCCAAAGCTAAAGAGAAAAAAAAAATATATATAGGACTCAGACACACACACACACACACACCATATGACAAGGTATCTTCCCCCATTTTTTTTTTTTTTTAAATGCTTATCACAGTCTGGGCAACTGCACCTGAATTGCTCCTCTATGATCCAGCAAGGGCACCCATTCTTAGATTTCCAGCTCCTAAGCCATTACCGCTCTTGGATTGACATATGCACTTCTCTACTTCCTGACCGGGGCATGTCCAGGCTGTACAGTTCTCCTTTAAGACTGTTATTCCTCAGCAAGGCAGACCACCTAACAGGCCTGTGTCTGCACTTTTCTTACTCTTCCAAGGCTGTAAACAGTGTAACTGCTAGAGTTACAAGTTATCACAGCTCTTCCTAAGCAAATATGTTTATTCTTAAAGTAAAAGCATTATATAGAAAACATATTAAAACCAATAAAAGAACCTACATGCATGCTAATAAGCTGACCAGAGATCGCCCCAACTCTTACAAGGTCTCTGGCTGGTGAGCAGTCCTTCAAGCCTCACCAAGGTTTTGTTCCCCCCTCATGATAACAAGTTTGTAATTGCCTTGGCTCAGAAAAAAACACCCCCATGAATCTGCAAATTAATCCATGCTGTTTGGGACTTTTGATCCTGGGAATAGGTAATTCATAGTCAAAGGTCTTGTCGCCAAAGGAAAGTTTGAAAAGATCAGGTCCAGAGATGTGCATTTGCATTCCTCTCCTCCCAAATACCTCCTAGGAAACCTGCACAACTATCAATTCATTCCTGTCTTAGCCCATTTTCTAAAATAGTCCTTTGAAGCTCAATACTTCCCAAGGGCTACATTAGTCAGGTCTCCTACACAGCTTACATACAATCCCACAAACATTTGCATTTTTAATAATGAGATCCTATGATATTTAAAATTTAATTCAATAAGGTGTAGCCCAATTTAATAATGTTCATCCAGAATATTGCAGGAAATTGCATACCTGTCACAATGATTATACTTACATTTAGCAAAGAAAGCTTCTAAAGGAGGCCAACAGTAATCTCCAAGTTCTTCTAATTTCTGTAGAACACTGAACTCGCCTGTACATTTCACCCAGGCAAGGGCAGCCCCAACATCAAAAACTCTCTATTTCAAATAAAGGGTAGAAATTAGAGAAAGTTAGCAACTGTACTCAGTTTTTCTTATATGGAATAACCTAAATTACTGGCAACACAATATAAAGTAAAAAATTTAACAAATATGGATAGTATAGCAGCAATGTTGTGTAACAGTCTGACGAATAAGGTGCAAGGGCAAATGTTGAGGGTGTTGCCTGGAAAAAATAGAAGAGCATAGGTCAAATACTTCATAACTATTCCACAACCCACAGAATTCAGGAAAGGTAATTTTAGTTTATTTCAGACACCTGATATGTTATTTCTATGCATAAATATATGGTCAAAGAGAACCAACACTAAGTTAGCTTGCATTTTCACAAATTATAACAGCCATCTCATTTTATGCACCACAAAGGCCAGAAAAGGTCAGGCTAAAACTAGATTTAAAAATCTGGCACAAGGACAACCTTGGAATAGGTTTTTTGCTCTAGCTAGGTTAGATGTGACATGCCAGTGATGCTGGCAGATCAGGTGCCCGCTCATACCAAGGTCCCCATGTCTCAATTAGACACTGACAAATTACATAACCGGAATCAGTCTGGCCAACCTGTGTTATAATTCTAATATCTATTTTAACAATTCTAAGAATGTGTTTAGACTTCATTGAATGCTTATGAATTGCTGCATGCATTAATATCATTTATAATATTGTATCCAATATTGTAAGGTAATATTTCAGCAGTTACATTGTGAACCTCTGTGACTGTGTACATCACCAGATAGGAGAGAGACCTTAATTACTGAGGGGCTCATCTTCAACAGAAAGTGTTATGCCTTTCCCAAAAGGAAAGGTCCATCAATACCCGACACACTATTGTGGGACTCTGCAATTGGAATCTCCCTACAAACCCTCAAGAGAACAAAAGACTTATGTTGTTCTGTCCTCCTCCCTGTGACAAGTCATGCAAGTGGGTTCCTCCCATCAGTTGAGTTTCCAGCTCACAGTATATGGCAGGAGGGGTATGAAACCCCTAACAAGAACTGATGCTTGGACTCTGGGGACAAGATTTTTCCAGGCATAAGCAAGAGATCTCCAGCTGCTTAGCCTGGGTTAGCGCTAAAGGATATAGAGCTTGCTGATTATAGAAACGTCTATTATCTTTTGAAACTTAAGATTGTAACTCATTTGTGTATGTTTACTGCTTTACCCTTGTAAAGAATTCTCTAAATTTCTTTTTTCTATTTAATAAATCTTTGTATAGTTTATTACAGGATTGGCTGCAAGCATCATCTTTGTTGTGAGACTTAAGGTGCAACTGACCTGGGGTAATGACTGGTCCTTTGGGACTCAGAGTAACTTAAATATTGCTGTGTTTCTTGGTGTAAAGGACCATTGATCACAAAAGTACGCTCACCTGGGTGGTGAGATAGCTCAGAGTAGCCGAGGGGACTGACTGTGACTCCCAGTTAATGCTCCTATAGTGCCTAAGGAATTTACACTTGATAAATGGTTGATGAAATCTAAGACTATGTCTACACTACAGACCTTACAGCAGCACAACTGTACCACTCAAGTGCACCGCTGTAAAGTCTCCTGTATAGCCACTCGATGCCGGAGGGAGAAAGCTTTCCCGCCAGCATAATTAAACCACACCCAACGAGCAGCAGTAGCTATGTTGGCAGGAGACACTCTGCCACCAACATAGTGCTGTCCACACCGGTGCTTTTATCAGTGAAAGTTATGTCGGTCAGGGTTTCATTTTTTTCCACACCCCTGACTGAAAATAGTTTTGCTGACAAAAGTCCTAATGTAGACATAGCCTTAGTATAGAACTCACAGCCAATTTGGGGGTTATACTCTGCTTCCTGACAGTCTGCCCTGAGGTTAGTACTCCTTCTCTTGAATCACTGCAGGCAGCATTACAGTATCAAGTCAAAGTAGCATATCAAATGCCTTTCAATAAGTACCATTTCTCATAAAGTGTTACTTTTTACTGGTGCTACAGATTACCACTCCTGACTTATGAACCTTTCCTCAAATCCTTGTTTGACAGCAAACCAGAAAGGACACTTTCGGTATATCAATATAAAACCAAATGTTAATTTTTAAAACCATTATCCGCACTATGTGGGATCAACCTGAATGTAGTCATCAGCCAATCATTGCTCCTTGTAAGGAACTGAATGTTACTCAGCGCAGTAAATGCCCACTGTGACATCGAGGCCCATTGGTGACAACTGGCAAATGGCTCAATATTCTTTGCAAGCAGCTCCTTCCTCAGACCTGACAAACTCACTACATTCACTATAAAGGGTAATATGCAATTTCCCTACTAAAAGCTTGTAACTTATCGACACTTACTTATCGTGAGATGTGCGTATGGGAAATATTTAAGGAATAATGTCACTACACTGAAAATTAAGCTCTTATGGTCTTGAAGTGAAAGTGAGTCCCCAGGAAATAATGCGTCTTGGTGATGGCCAATTCAAGTGGAAGGGAGTTGTCACCCCTCTCTGGCTAGCTAATGATGTAACATATTACTCAATCATCCACCTCGGCAACAACCCAGAAAAGGCAATGGAATACCAACAAAGCAACTATAAACACTGAAATTAATTGTAAGTGAAAAGGAATGACATGACAGCAAGGGGTGGCCATGTTTGTGAATAAAGACAAAAGACTGTTTTAGTATATTACAAGGTGGAGAAAGCCATTCTGTATCTATTCACTGAGATGCGTCTTGTTGAACGGGGTGCTTGATGAAAGACTGAGGCCTTGTCTACACTAGAGTTTTGTGGACACAAGTTACTCCGACTATCTAAAAGCACTATAATTACATTGCTTGAGCATATTTGCACAACGCTGCTTCTGTTGGTGGAGTTCATACACAGTTGGTGCTCTAGCATAGACAGTGAGAGCAGTGCACTGTAAGTAGCTATCCCACTATGTTACTTGCCACCTTCTGCAGCTAGGAGTTGTGGGAAGGCAGAGTGGATCATAGTGCATCATGGGTGTGGGCTCAATGTCCCATGATGCATTTTTTCCCCATCCCATCATTCCATGGGCTTCCGACTGTATTTTGCAGCATTTCTCAATGTGCGCCCACCATCTCTGTCTGAAAGGATGGATCCTGCACTGTTCTCTACTGTTGTGGTCACTGTTATGAACAAATCATGGATGGTTATGCAGTAGTATATCATGAACTCCCAATCTGAATAGGAATCAGAGTTGCCTGACTCGCTACAGGTCATCGAAAGAAACACCACCAGATTACTTTTGGCATTTATGGAGCACCTGCACAAGGTGGACCGTCGCTTCTGGGCTTGGGAAACAAGCACTGAGTGGTGGGATCACATCGTTATGCAGGTCTGGGATGATGAACAGTGGCTGCAGACCTTTCAGAAGAAGAAAGCCACCTTCCTGGAACTGTGTGTGGAGCTCGCCCCAGCACTGCAGCATAACGACACCAAAATGAGAGCTGACCTCTCGGTGGATAAGCGTATAGCGATCGCTGTGTGGAAGCTGGCAACTCCAGACTGCTACCGGTCAGTGTTTAGAAACCTAGAGCAGTTTCCCCCTTGCTGGAGCACCGAGGCAGATCGCCTGCGCAACTGATTTTGAGCAGCCAAATACCAGGGCTATTAGAGAGGGTGCAATGGGGGGTTATTTGAATCAAGGAAGCTTTGAGGCACTATTTTGATAATGACCACAAGCAATAAGTCTTTCTATACAGCACCCTGCCTGCTTTGTTAACTTTCCACCTTCCATGAAAATGTTGATGATTCCTGACCAAAATTTGTAGTCTGCAAATGATCCAACTGCCACTGTGTATTAATTCCAGCAGTAACCACCATGTGAAGCAGACAAATAATGATCATCTTTCAGAGAGTATGTTTTTATTAAATACCAATTAACAACACACAAAACGCTTGGTGGGAAGGGAGGTAACAGTGCAGGGCAGTATAGGCTCTTATAGCTGTGCTAAGTCCAGCTATCATTTTGGAAGCTATCCGAAGGTGCGGAGCGAATGGGGTACCAAGACAGCCTGGGAGCTTGCAAGGAATGTGTGGGAGGAGTTTGGGGAGGGCATGGCAAGCAGTTCTGCATCAGTGGGATGGGGGGAGGGGGGGCCCACGGGAGAGCACAAGCACACAGCCATTCTGCCTGCAGCATGATGAGGGATTTCAACATCTCTGTTTGCACCATCACTCTAAGCCAACGGTGGAAAGAGCTCTCCAGTCAACTTAATTAATCCATCCCCAATGAGCGGTGGCAGCTATGTTGGTGGGAGAAACTCTCCTGCTGACAAAGTGCTGTCCCACACTTAGGTGCTTAGGTTGGCATAAATTATGTCTCTCCGGGGAGTGGCTAATTCACAACCCTGCGCAACATAACTTGCGTCAACTTAAACTGTAGTGTAGCCATAGCCTGAGTTCTGGTTCCTTGTAGCTCGCAAACTGCTGCAAGAAGATTAATTCCCATCCCAAAGTTCAGTAAGTGAAGACCTTAGTTAGCGTTTTATGATTTTGCTTTGTATGTAGCCATTTGTTTACATCACTCACACTTGTTTCAATTTGAATCTCTATTGTTTCTTGAAATAAATTTTGTTTTGTTTAATTATCATTGAATTCAAGTCCTGCATTTGATACAGGAGCAATAGTCTAGGGTAAAACTAGTGAAGTGTTCCTTTGGGAACAGAGAACCTAGTACTTCTGTGGGTATCCAGTGATCAGGGGCTGGACACCACAGGGGGGCACTTTAAAGGGACTCAGGATCTGGGGTGCATCCATTGTCAACCTGCAGGGAAAAAGTAGGGCTAGAATAGCCCAGAGGAGAATTCTTGAGTTGCTGACAGTTTTGTTGTGTTAGGGAGTTGACACCCAGCAGGCACTGGCCACACTACCTCAAGCAGCAGGAAGATGGCAACAGGTGAATCACAGCTCTTGGTGCCTCCAGAAGCATCACACCCACGCCTCTTTTTATAACTTATAAAAAAAAGGATACAATCCTTTCCCAAAAGGTGGGTTAATTTAAATCAAAGCAATATAACTCACCAATTTTAATAATTTAAATCAGTAAGCAAGAAACTGATTTAAATCATCGATTTTAGTCTTGCATTATATTTGTACGTTTTAGTTTTTGCCCTTAAGGGAAAGTTGATTCTCTACAATTAGTAACCATAAAAACACATTGATTTGCAATTCAGTATAGACTTTATACTATATTTCATGCTTCTTTGTGCTAACCAGAAGGATACATTGTATACAAACGTAAGCAATTATATACCTTTTAATTTACATTTATTACATTACAAAACGGTGAATGATGCATTTCTTACTTACTATATAATTTACTTGTGATGTGTCACATTCCATGTCAATGAAAAATTTCAATTAAAAATGCACACATTTTTATTTTTTTTAAACAGTTAAATAAAACTACTAGTCCTGCCAGAATTCTGTGTTCCCTGCAGAATTTTACTTTCACGCTGAATTTGTGATTTCCCCCCCAGGATTCCTGCACGTGCCTGGCACAGGGGGTTGAGGCTCCCACTGACAGCCCCAGGCTGATAATGGGAGCATGATTATATTGTGTTATTTTGACAAATAAAATATGTTGAATTTTGCAAAATTTTAAAATATTGTGTGAAAATTTTTTGGCACAGAATACTCCCAGGAGTAAACTACCTCAAATGTGCTGGATATCTAAGAAACTGTTTATCAAAACATGGTTTGCATTTAAAACTAACATTGACAAAACAAAGTACTATCTCTAGTTAGTGAATTGAATTGATTGTTTCTGGTCACCATTGTCCTTCAACATTTTAGAACTAGTAGACTCACCTTCTCACACCTAGTTTTTACTCAAGTTGGAAGAGGAAAACAAGCTTTCCTGCATTAGCAACTTCCCAACTGGTTTCTTAACTTTGAATGAACTAGTCACTAAACTGAACTAGTTAAATAAAATGAAAAAAGAAGAAAATATTCTCTCTGTACCTATAGAAGAGGCTATTGCTGTCAAAAACTGGTTCCAATGCTTCAAAAGTGACTTCCACCAGTTAAGTGGTCTAACTTTCTTTAAAAGTTGGGCAAATGTACTCTTTTTTTATTTAAATTGTTTTAATAGATTATAGTAAGCTTAGGCCTTAAGATAAATGTGAAATATGAAAACTAATTCAAAAGTTTTATTTTTAAAAATGTATTTAATTTAAATTTAAAAAATTGTTTAAAAAAAAAATCACTGATTTGTATTCACCCTGCTTTCCCCTAACTTCTCTTTTTGACAGATTAATTATCAGTACTAGTGTACTTGAATCCAAGTATTGCAGGATTTTTTTAGAATATTTGTAATGCACTATTCAATCATTTAAAATCACTCCACCGAAGAAATCAAGTAAATATTGGTTTACACCTACCAACCTAAATTTTGTATTTTGTCACTGTAGCATCATAAATTTTGAGTTACCTTTAGAACGCACAATACAAAATTGTTAAGGTGTTTCTGCAGAAGGCTTATTTTGGTGATCACTTTTAAGAGTCTGCATCATCCTGCAAGCTACTTTTCAACAGAATGAGTGTTCCTGTTGAAGACCATTTGGAAACTTCAGTTAATGTAAAATGAGACAATCTGCTTACTTATCTGGGTTTCCCCACATGCAGCACAAGCTTCTTTTCAACTGCAGTGGCTTTCAATTAACTTATGGGTATCATTCAATTGTAGGCTTTGATCTATTTAGCATTTTTCTTGGTGACCCACTGTGGTGGGGTATACAAACCCCACACTGGAATGTAAGGGGCTAAAGGACAGTCCTGGGCCCAGCTAGCCCTGCCCCTCTAACCCTGCAGAACATGCTCCAACTGGCAACATGGTTGAAAAAGGAGCAAAGCCCGCTCAGAAAGCTGGAGAGGAGTACAGAACTACTCCACCAACTCCACCCAAAATGGGCTAGAGAAGCATCCCTGAAGTACAGGACTATATGCTGAGCCCAGCTAGGGTGACCAGACAGCAAATGTGAAAAATCGGGACGGGGGTGGGGGGTAATAGGAGCCCATATAAGAAAAAGTCCCAAAAATCGGGACTGTCCCTATAAAACCGGGACATCTGGTCACCCTAAGCCCAGCTCACGCGGTTTGCTTTTCTTTTTGGAAAAAAGGAGACTACGGGGGGATATGATAGAGGTATATAAAATCATGAGTGATGTGGAGAAAGTAAATAAGGAAAAGTTATTTACTTCTTCCCATAATACAAGAACTAGGGGCCACCAAATGAAATTAATTGGCAGCAGGTTTAAAACAAATAAAAGGAAGTTCTTCTTCACACAGCGCACAGTCAACTTGTGGAACTCCTTGCCTGAGGAGGTTGTGAAGGCTAGGACTATAACAGCGTTTAAAAGAGAACCGGATAAATTCATGGAGGTTAATCCATTAATGGCTATTAGCCAGGATGGGTAAGGAATGGTATCCCTAGCCTCTGTCTGTCAGAGGGTGGAGATGGATGGGAGGAGAGAGATCACTTGATCATTACCTGTTAGGTTCACTCCCTCTGGGGCACCTGGCATTGGCCACTGTCAGTAGACAGGATACTGGGCTAGATGGACCTTTGGTCTGACCCAGTACGGCCATTCTTATGTTATGTTTTTATTTTCCTTTATCTGGGACCAGAAGCAGAAGGTGCAGTGGTAGGAAGCAACCCAGAGAGGGTACCTCAGGAGGGTCTATTAACACTGCTGACCCTCATAGGGCCCTGGGTCAGAGCCTGGTGGAGTGGGTGGGCACAGGTTCCCCTACCACTACCCCATGACTGAGTGGACGCTAACCACTAAGCCACTCAAGCCAACTGAGGACTCTACTACACCCACCTATGTATTTGTGCTTCAACCCAAACTGAGACAACAGCTGACATGAGAACGGACATTCCTCAAGCAGGGTGTTGCAAGTGAAAAGCCCTTGACTCTGAAATATACTTCTCCCGTGTCCAACAAAGCCTGAGTTGGAGGACCATCAAAGCATGTTCCAAAGCTTTTTCTAAACGAGTGGGGTTGAGTGCAGAATGTTTGTTGGCTGGTATGTTCTATCCGTGTGTTTTTAAAACAGATTTTGTGAATTTAGATTATTATTTTATTTACTATTAAATGCATGTCCATCAAGACAAAATGCCATTTAAATTAAATAAAAATATAAGTAGTGAATTATCCAGTAACAAGTTATAGCTGTGCCTGATTTATTTCTCCCACTATTAAAAGTGGCTACGATATGGTCTTCAAAATGGCAAACTATAAAGCAAATTTCTTTTTTTAACGTTAAAGTAACTTTCCAGTTTATGCCATCTGTGTAGGTTAAGAGAAAGTGACATGCAGAAGAAAAAGTACATCCATGCACCAAAACTTCAGAACTGGGAGACTTCTAAGAAAATGCAACCTATTATACCATCAAGGGCTCTAGCTGTTATATACCCATGTACCTTGTTTATATGTAGAAAAGAAATACTGGGGACAGATGGAAAAGCCTTATTTGTATTTACAGGAGGTTTTTGTTTCTTTTTTTTAAAGTCAAAATAACTTACATTTTCTATTCGAGTACCAATACTCAATATGCCACTGATAAAAAATGGATTGTTCTGGGGAGAAAAACAAACAAACAAAGAAAGAAATCAGACTTTTCACCCAACCAAAAGCAAAGTGAGGCTGTTCACTCAACGGCATTTCTCTGTCTGTAATGCGATAATGTTTGAATGGTACATCTGATCCATTCAAAAATTTCAGGGAATGTTCTAGGCAACAGTGAGTAGAATCATATTGATTTTGGTGAAAATCAGAAGAAAAAAAAAAGAAAGGGGAAAAAGAGGAAACCGATTAGGAGAGCCAGCAGCTTCAAAGAACCGGTTGATAGCCATTAACACCTTACCTTGTAACAATATCCTCTCTCTCTCAGCTTTGCTGATCCTCCCAATACAGTACAATGTTGATATCCAAAATAACTTATTTCCCAGACAGAAAGACAAAAAATAAGAATAGTGGGGTGAAAGGACAGTGGGGAGAAAGAAAAAATAGGAGGCTGGCACACAGGAAGCTTGTTGGAGGGAATACCAGGGGTATGTCTACACTGGCACTTCGTCAGCAAAACTTGTCGTTCAGGGGTGTTAAAAAAAAAAAAAAAAAAAAAAAACCACACCCCCATACGACAAAAAAGTTTTACCGAGAAGCACTAGTGTGAACAGCTCCTTATCAGAAGGAGCACTCTCCTGCAGACAAAGCTGCTGCTGCTGCTGGTGGGGGATGGAAGTTTTTTTGCTATCAAGAGAGCTCTCTCCTGCCAACAAACAGCAGCTACACTGCGCAGCTTTTAGCGGCGTGGCTACAGCAGCACACCGTGTCGCTAAAAGCTGCGTAGTGTAGCCATAGCCTAGGATGCAAGGATGCCCTGTAAGGGCAATGTGCTCAGACAGAAGCAACAAAGTGTGCGAGCCACTAGTACAGTGGTTCTCAACCTTTCTGGACTACTGTACCTTTCAGGAGGTTGATTTGTCTTACGTACCCCAAATTTCACCTCACTTAAAAAGTGCTTGCTTATAAAATCAGATATCAAAATCCAAAGAAGTGTCACAAGCACACTATTACTGAAAAACTGCTTACTTTCTCATTATCATATAATTATAAAATAAATCAATTGGAATATAAATATTGTACTTACAGTTCAGTGGTATAGTATATAAAGCAGTGTAAAGAAGTCATTATCTGTAGGAAATTTTAGTTTGTACTGAATTTGCTAGTGGTTTTTATGTAGCCTGTTGTAAAACTAGGCAAATATCTTGATGAGTTTACATACCCCCTGGAAGACCTCTGTGCACCCAAGGGGTACACGTACCCCTGGTTGAGAACCACTGCACTATTTATTATGAAGTCATGTAACGGCAGAGTGGACCATCAAGATGCAGTTTTGGGATGCACACAACCAATCTTCCATTGATCACAATTTTCAAAGTAAAAACTGTGCAATACCTCAATTTAAAACACCACACCAAACACACACTAAAATATTTGGTTCATCATTTGCACACTCGCCCACAACCCTCAGTTTTCTTTGCTGCTTCCCTCTCTCCTTTGTTTGGCGTCTCCTATCAGTACATGGTTGTTTTGGACCAGACTAGCAGCAGCAAGATTCAAACAGCAAACTGTTACTGAGCAAAAGAGGAGTGAAAAAGCAACTTTATTTCACTCTGTGGGTAGGAGGACCTCTCACCTCACTGACGTGGTTCTACTGTCTGTACTGCAATCATGGATCAGGGAATGCTGTGCTATCCACTGTACAAACATGTAACAAAAAGATGATCCATGCTCCAATCAAGCCCCTGGAGCCAGTTTTCTTGCAGACATCACTGAATCATTGTACTTCCCTTACAAGAACAGTAACTCATAGTGCAACCCAACTGGCTGTCAACATATTTATTCACCCTAGCAGAAACAACTGCCTTGTTCTAATTTAACATATAAATCAAGATCTGTATCATGGCAAGGTGTTAATTAAGCACTCTAACACATTCGAAAACGTAAGTTATAGAACACCACTTACCACAACTTTCTTAGCCAAATCAAGCATGTCTTCCAGAACCTCAATATCCCCGAGTCTCTCCAAACTTAGCTCATAAGAGAAGGAATCGCTTAAATGAAAACATTTTTTTTAGAAAAGTAATTTTTGTCCTATTATATAGCCTTAGCTATTAATATTAAAGTCAGTCAGATCTAAAGAAGACAGTGTTTAGAAACTTAGAGCAATCTCTTCAAAATGGGAAATCAATTGTAGCTGCTGGGTTCTTAGCACTTTCAAAAAACCAGGGCAATGATTTGGATGTTTAAATATAGGCATCCATTTTTGAAGAGTTTATCCCTGATATTCAGAATCTAAAGTCTCTTCAGTTATAGCTAGGGCCCTACCAAATTCACGACCATGAAAAACGTGTCACAGATTGTGACATCTGGTCTTGTGTGTATTTTTACTCTATACTATACAGATTTCAAGGGGGAGACCAGTGTTTCTGAAACTGGTGGTCCTGATACAAAAGTGGGTTGTGGGTCGGGGAGGGGGGAAGTCGTAAGGTTATTTTAGGGGGATTGCAGTATTGCCACCCTTACTTCTGCGCTGCCTTCAGAGCTGGGAGGCTGGAGAGTGGAGATTGTTGGCCAGACATCCAGCTCTGAAGGCAGCGCCTGGCCAGCAGAAGGGTGGAAGTAAGGGTGGCAATACCATACCACCCTTACTTCTGTGCTGCTGCCTTCAGAGCTGGACAGCTTGAGAGTGGCAGCTGCTGGCCGAGGGCCCAGCTCTGAAGGCAGCAGAGCAGAAGTAAGGGTGGCAAAACCATACCATGCCATCCTTACTTCTGCGCTGCTGGTGGCAGTGGTTCTGCCTTCAGAGCTGGGCTCCCGTCCAGCAGCCGTTGCTCTCTGGCCACCCAGCTCTGAAGACAGCGCCACCACCAGCAGCTGTGAAGAAGTAGGGGAGTAGTATCGCAACCCTCCTACAACAACCTTGCGACCCTCCCACAACTTCTTTTCGGGTCAGGACCCTTACAATTATGACATCGTGAAATTTCAGATTTAAAGAGCTGATTTTTTAAAATCATCTGACCATGAAATTGACCAAAATGGACCGTAAATTTGGTATGGCCCAGTTATAGCCAACTTTGCTCATGGCCAGATTGAAGCATTAAAATAAAAACAAAAATGTAAAGGACAATATTTATTCATATTGGTTAATCAATGCTTACCTGAAATCAGTTTCATTCTCAAGTTTAAATAGAAACGGCCAAACAATGTAGATTTTAATCACATCACAATAGTCTTTCAGTACATGAACTGGCTTACTGCACCACACTTCACAGGGATCAACTGCTTAATAAAAAAGAAAAAGGGAAGACATAAGGAACCTGATTAAGAATAACCAAAGCTGAATGTTTAGTTTAAAAAAAACAAAACAAAACAAAACAAAAAAACCACAACCACTAGAGTAATTTCTATGCTATGCTCAGGCCTAAAACCTGGAATCAAGGAAATCTGAACACCCTAGGTATAGCTGAGTTCTTTTGCCACAACCTCCCAAATAAATGGGAGATTCCAGAAAGGGCTATATTTGCAAACTCAGAACATTCAGCACCCCCCGTTCACACCATGAGCTCCCCACACTGGGTCCACCTAGATGGGACACCCAGGGAAACCTTACATGCCTCCAAAGGCCTATTCAGCCCCACTTCCCAGTCAGCAGTGACTCTCAGCCAGCATTGTAAAACAGAAGGTTTATTAGGCCTGGTCTACACTAGTCGGTTATTTCAAAATTAGCAGAGTTAATTCGGAAAAAAAATGAATCCGTCCACACCACCAAACCGTTTTTTCTATTTAAAGGGCTCTTTAATCCGATTTCTGTACTCCACCTCGGCAAGTGGAGTAGCACTTAAATCGAGATCGCAATCCCGGGTTAAAAGGTATTGTGGACACAATTCGACATCATTGGCCTCCGGGAGCTATCCCAGAATGCTCCCTTGTGACCACTCTGGACAACACACTCAACTTCGATGCGCTAGCCAGGTGGGCAGGAAAAGCCCCGGGAACTTTTGAATTTCATTTCCTGTTTGGTCACCATCAGCACAAGTGACCATCAGCACAGTCCACCATCACAGGCGACCATGCAGAGTCCACCATCACAAGAGATCACGCAGTCTCGGATTCGCAGACGAGCTCCAGCATGGTCCAAACAGGAGTTACTGGATCTCATTGTATGTTGGGGAGAAGAATCTGTTATGGCGAACTACATTCCAAAAAAATCAACGCAAATACGTACGCTAAAGTCTCCAGGGCCATGACGGAAAGAGGCTACTCCAGGGACACAGAGCAGTGTCGTACAAAAATCAAGGAGCTCAGGCAAGCGTACCAAAAAGCCAGGGAGGTGAATGGGCGATCTGGGTCACAGCCCCATATATGCCGCTTCTACAGTGAGCTGCATGGAATTATGGGGGGTGACGCCACCACTACCCCACCACTGTCTGGGGACACTTGCAAGGGGGGAGTTGCACGGAGTGAGGAGGATGAGTCATTGGAGGACGAAGAGGAGGAGTAGGACAATGCAAAGGTGGTAAGTGGGGAATCTGTTTTCCCCCCTAGCCAGGAACTATTCTTAATGCTGGAGCCAATAGCCTCCCCCCACTCCCAAGGCGGGCTCCCGGACCATGACCCTAGAGAAGGTACTTCTGGTGAGTGAGAGCCTGATCAGAGCCACACGGTGGGGGGCTGAGGAGAAACCCAGCCGCGCTGGGCTGTTCGCGTTTAGTTTAAAGGGCTCATCCCTGCTCAGAGCCTCATCAGAGCGGTGGGGGGAGGGGGGTAAGGAGGGGGTTGTGTGAAGCGATCATCCCAGAGAGCCCGCAGGCCCTCCTTTTATATGGCAAACCCACCAGGCATTGCTTGCTATGGGAAAGGTGGCCCGGCAGTTTGAAAGCATTGAAATGAATGCGGAAGAAGCAGACCCTCCCGTACCCCTAGGGCTTACCATGGCTGCCTGCAAGCTGAATTCTGTTGCCCGGCTGTGAGTGATGGCTTACTCATACCAAAGTGGCAGGCACTTCAGTACAAGAGGCAAAATGCTAACTTATACAGAAAGAACATGTGCAGTGTACTAATTGCCTGTTTCACTGAGAGCGTCCCCTTTGTTCTCTGAAATGTATCTTTTAAAATACTACCCCCTCCCCTTTTCTCCTCCCGCACGTGCAAATGTTTCAACGCAGCACCTATCTACTCCGTCCCAGAGGCTGGTCCAGATTAGAAGGCGGAAAAAACGAACTCGGGACGACATGTTCAACAAGCTCATGCAGTCCTCCCGCACTGATAGGGCCCAGCTGAATGCGTGGAGGCAAACAATTGTGGAGTCCCGTAAAGCATTACAGGAACACGAAGAGAGGAGGGACGCACGCGATGAGAGCAGGCAGGACGCTATGGTCAAGCTCATGGGGGAGCAAACTGACATGCTGCGCTATGTGGTGGATCTAATGCGGGAAAGGCAGCAAGACCACAGACTGCCGCTGCAGCCCCTGTATAACCGCCCTCCCTCCTCCCCAAGTTCCATAGCCTCCTCACCCAGACGCCCAAGAACACTAGGTGGAGGTTACGGGGACCCACACACTCAACCCCAGAGGATCGCCCAAGCACCAGAAAGCTGGCATATGTGAACTTTTGATTTGGTTTCTGGACTTATCCTTCCCTCCTCCTCCATCACCCCACTAACCCAATACTACCCCCCCCCAGTCTAACTTCTGATTTCTCTCAATGTGTTGTGCAACAAATAATAAAGAACAGTTATTTATTTATTTATTTATATATATATATATACACACACACACACACACACACACACACACACACACACACACACACAAATATTAGATAGATAGAGCAGGTAGCTTCAAGAGAAACAAACAACTGTCACACTGTACCCTGGCCAGTCATGAAACTGGCTTTCAAAGCTTCTCTGATGCACAGTGCACCCTGCTGTGCTCTTCTAATCGCCCTGTTGTCTGGCTGTGTGAAATTGGCCACCAGGCGAGTTGCCTCAACCTCCCACCCCGCCATAAACGTCTCCCCCTTACTCTCACAGATATTGTGGAGCACACAACAAGCAGCAATTACAATTGGAATATTGGTTGTGCTGAGATCTAACCGAGTCAGTAAACTGCACCAGCGCGCTTTCAAACGTTCAAAAGCACATTCTACCACCATTCTGCACTTGCTCAGCCTATAGTTGAACTGCTCCTTACTACTGCCCAGGGTGCCTGTGTACGGCTTCATGAGCCATGGCATTAAGGGGTAGGCTGGGTCCCCGAGGATAACTATAGGCATTTCAACATCCCCAACAGTAATTTTCTGGTCTGGGAAGTAAGTCCCTTCCTGCGGCTGTTCAAACAGACCAGAGTTTCTGAAGATGCGAGTGCCATGTACCTTTCCCGGTCACCCCATGTTGATGTTGGTGAAACTCTGTTGTGATCCACCAGTGCTTGCAGCACTATGGAAAAGTATCCCTTGCGGTTTATGTACTGGCCGCCCCGGTGTGCCGGGGCAAAGAAAGGGATATGCGTTCCGTCTATCGCCCCGCCGCAGTTAGGGAACCCCAGCGCATTAAAGCCATCCACAATGGTCTGCACATTTCCCAAAGTCACTACCCTTGATAGCAGCTGGTCAATGATTGCGTTGGCTACTTGCAGCACAGCAGCCCCCACAGTAGATTTGCCTACTCCAAACTAATTCCCAACTGACCGGTAGCTGTCGGGTGTTGCAAGCTTCCACAGTGCTATGGCCACTCGCTTCTCAACTGTGTGGGCTGCTCTCATTTTGGGGTCTTTGTGACTTGCTGTCCCCTGTCCTGAAGCACAAAGTTCCATGAAAGTGGCCCTATGCATACAAAAGTTTTGCAGCCACTGGGAATCATCCCAGACCTGCAACACTATGCAGTCCCACCAGTTTGTGCTTGTTTCCCGGGCCCAGAATCAGCGTTCCACGGCATGAACCTGGCCCAACGCCACCATGATCTCCCAATCGCCACATGCTGTGCTTCTAGGAACGTCTGTGTCCATGTCCTCATCAGTATAGTAATCGCGCTGTTGTCGCTTCTTCGCCCGGTTTTGCAGGTACTGCACATACTGCTGGATAATGCGCGAGGTATTTACAATGGTCAAAACTGCAGTGGAGATCTGAGCAGGCTCCATGCTCGGGTAATCCTGGAAAAAGGGCGCGAAACGTAGGAGAGCTGTTCAGTTCAAGATGGCCAATAAAAGGCGGAAAATGGTTGTCTTCTGTAGCTTTCACGGAGGCAGGAAGCTCACTAGAGCTGCAAGAGTGGGAGAGCAGAGTTTGTGGCGGCAGCTGTGCGCCTCAGTTCACGATGGCCAAAAAAAGGCGGGAAATGGGGTTAGATAAAAAAGAGTAGATAGAAAGACGAGAGGACATGCGAGGTGGATTAATAGTACCAGGAGACAAGCAGTGCACCGTACTGCACTGTCTGCTGGCAGTATGGCATCTTCCGTAGCTTTCACGGAGGGAGGAGCGAGTGATGACACACACCCAGAAACAGCCTGCAAGAATGTTTTTGCCCCATCATGCACTGGGATCTGAACCCAGAATTCCAATGGGCGGCGGGGACTGCGGGAACTTTGGGATAGCTACCCACAGTGCACCACTCCGACATTCGATGCTAGCCTCGGTACTGTGGACGCACTCCACCGAATTCACGCGCTTTAGTGGGGACACACAACACCGAATGTATAAAATTGCTTCCGAAAATTCAAATAGAATAATTTCGAATTAACTTCGTACTGTAAACGTACCCTGAGTCAACAGGAACACAGTATAGTTTTCTACCCTTTGGTAACCTGTGACTAGTGTTATTGACCAACCACTTTCTTAAAACAAAAGCCCTATCAACAGTACGGGCGCTGCAGCAGCATAGCAATGGTGTCATAGCTATGCTGTTGTAACCCCATAGCTTGTTAGCACAGAAATCAGGAACTTTCAGCAAAGTCCATCTTGGGGGGATCCAGGGCCTGGTGCGCTGGATTCCCCGCTCCGAGTCCCCAACAGGAGTCTGATCATTTTCAGTTGCCTGGCCCCAGACACGCCTGTTGCCCCTCCTCATTCCTTTGTCTCTTTCCAGGGACAGCAGGTCACCTGGTCTACTTTGACACCTCCGGCTGATTCTTGCAGAGGAGGTGACCTGACCATCAGTTGCCAGGCTCCAGAGTGTCAGCCGTTCTCTGTCCCAGGCAGCAGTCACACCTGCCCTCTAAGGGTCACGGCAATGATCACACACTCTTACCCCGCCACCTAAATACAGTACTTGAACAACAGGGGAAACTGAGGCACACACAGTATTCAGAGACGACATTAAGAACCTTCCCACTTCATCACAGTACAGAATAATTAATTGACGATGACCTCAATGTCACTCCAGGGAGAAATTTAAATTTCATTTTTTTGTCAAGTATGCGTGTTTGTTGGAGTAGTTTACACATTTCTAAATGAGGTTTCAAAACTTGTAAGGATAGACTTACTTCTGAGGCTTTGGTTACCAGTTTAAACAAAACAAATCTGCCAACTAAAAATCATAGGTTGCAACTGACAACTCTTAACACTTTAGAATAAATCAAAAAAGCTATTTGTCATTATTTATGCTCATTCTTTGCATTTCTCTCAGATTGGAAAATAAATATAAATGAAGGCTATTTTACATTTACTTATAAACAGTTTCACATCCAGGCTTTTAATGTTGCAGTTGTTTGGGTTTCAAACAATGCAGGGGAATATTTGTTTGAATACAGCTGCTTTAAATGAAAAGTTTAAGAATTTTGAAAACATCTGTTGGCCTCAAAATCCACACTCCTTAGCATTCTAACTATGCTGACCTAACCCTCAGTGTAGACACAGCTAGGTCAACAGAAAACTCCCTCAATTGACCTAGCTACTGTCACTCGGGAAGGTGTAATTCCTACAGCAACTGCAGTCTGCGTCTACACTATGGGGTTACAGCACCATTGCCATACCACTGCAGCGCCAGTACTGTTGATAGGGCTTTTGTTTTAAGAAAGTGGCTGGTCAATAACACTGGTCACAGGTTCCCAAAGGGTAGAAAGCTCAAGTACTCAAAACCGAGTCAGGCCTACATGGAGATAAGCAGTTGACATATATAGAATGGTATATTCAGGTCCTGGTCTAAGATTGGAAGAATTGTGATTTGAGCAAGAGGCATAACGCCTTCGTGTATTCTTTTGGGAGACCAGAAAGGGGACTGAGGTGCAGCTAACCCTGTAGCCCCAATAATGAAGTATCTGAGCACATCACAATTTTTTATGTACTTACCCTCACAACACCCCATGAGGTAGAGCAGTTATACGATAGTGAACTGAGGCACAGAAAGATTAAGTGACTTGCCCCAGGTCACACAGGAAGTCTGCAGCAAAGCAGGGAACTGAACTCCCATTTCCCAAATCCCAGACTTGCACCCTAACTACTCAACCATCTTTCCTCTCACTTATATTGCATTTGTATTACAACAGCACCTATAGAAACCCAATCAAGTTCACAGCCCCATCATACTAGACTCTGGGCATGTAGAGTAAGAAAGAATCCATGATCCAAACAGCTTACAATCTAAATAGACAACAAATGGGAGAATATTATCCCTATGAAGGAACTGAGGTACCAAGGTCTTTGTGTACATGGAGAACTTTACCAGCACTATTATATCAATATAACTCCACGTGAGGACACTTGGAACAACAGTGGCCATTTTTAAACTGGAAAAAAAAAAATCCACTGTTTTTCCAAATAGAAGTGTCTACATGGGGAGTTATATCAGTATACTAATACTGGTAAATTTCTCTGTATAGATGAGTCAAAAGAGATTAAGTGACATGTGTAGTTGAGAGAGCCTGAAGCATAGGGCTTAGTATGAGGCCTAAGGCCTAAGTCAGGCCCTGCTGATATTTAGCAAAGTTAGCAAGAGTCAGGCTTTGAGCAAAAGTCAGGCCCTCTTATGAAACAGATGGTTGCTTGCAGGTTCACTGTCTGATACACAAACTTGGCAAGAACAGGGCTGGCATTACAAAAATACAAACACTCCTAAGAAGTGCTAGGCACAGGATACTTGCATAAATACATTCCAGAAGGGTAGTACCGGAACACCCTAATATCAAGTTATAGCAGGGGTCCCCAACGCAGTGCCCGCAGGCGCAATGACGCCTGCCGGGGCGTCTAAGTGCGCCCGCGTACTGGCTGGTGGATGAGCATCTGCCAAAATGCCGCCGAGAAGCATTTCGGCGGCGACGCCTCTGCATGACGTTGCTTCTTGGCAGCATTTTGGCGGCAACGCCTATTGACGTTGCCACTTGTTGGCGGCATTTTGGCAGATGCTCGTCCGCCGCCACAGTCCTCCGTGGCTCATCATCTGGCACCCGCCAGACGAAAAAGGTTGGGGACCGCTGAGTTATGGTATAAATATACTCTGTGAAGATGATACAGTGACATACTGACCCCTCCTAAAGATAAGGTCAGGATGACAGGGTGATGGATAGAGATGTTTTGATTGAGCCAACATGTACAAGGTAAAGGGTGGTAGCTAACCACGTTCGAGGGGCAATACGTAACTTATTTATATCAGTGTATAAAAAGGGTCACAGAGGGGGTGTCTTTGTCCAGCCTATGGGGGAGTCAAAGGCCGCCGCTCACTGAGCCAAGTCCATTGTAACAGGCATACATGTTCTAGTGTAACTGTAGATGTTGATCCAGGGAACTAGGATAATAAACCTGGCCAAGCGCCTTCGCCACTGAACCAAGTCTGTGGTCTTCTAGGGAAGTTCGATAAAGTCTGCTTCCGAGCTATCTGGCCAAAGAGAATACACATGCAGCCAAAAACTGACAACAACACGCCCATGGTCACAAAATAAGTCTGGCAAAATCAGGAATTCAACTCATATCTCCCAATTCGCAGTCTAGTGCCTTAACTGCAAGACAATCATTCCTTTCTACAGAAATGCATATTTAGTTACAGAAAAAACTGTAGCTCAAACAAACCAAGCTGCTAGATCCTGGCTCCAATGACTTCAATGGGTCTCTTCACAGTGTAAAATTAAGCCTCTGCAGGATTGCAGCCCAACACCACATAGCTGAAGCAACTCAGACACCTCATTAAGAAAGCAAAGTTGAACCTGACATGGAAAATTAATGCTGAATTTAAGCTTTAATTCTCAGATCATACTAAGAGGCTGCATGCACGTAATCCTAATAAAATATCCATATTATTCTTGCGAACATATGGTTCTCTGTTAGGACAAGAGTGAGAAATATTGCAGCATGAAACATACACACTTCTGCTCAACAGGGCTCCAAAAGAATGTTCCCAGCCATCCAAGCAAAATATAAGGGGGGGGGGGGGGGAGTGAAACAGTCCAAATGACCAAGTAAAGCAGACAAGAGAAAATACAAAGTAAAATGTTTGCTAACTTCCAACATCAGTTTACATACCTGTTTTACGTTTGTTTGAAGAACGCTTTCTAAATTTCTCACGAACCTAAAAATAAAGAAAATTTTATTTTTTGCATAGCAAGCAATAAAAGTCACAATGCACAAACCATAGGCAACATAATTCCTCTAAGCAATAGTGATTTAACTGGTTCTAAAGCAGTTTACGTTTATTTAACTTTGCTAAGGACTTTTTAAGGTCTGTCACCAAGGATTTGGAGCAATCAAATTTTTGAATTGCTCCACTCCAGCTCCGCTCCAGAACCAATAGTGACTGTTCCGGCTCCGCTCCAGCTCCGGGCAAAAACCTGCAGCTCCACTGCTCCGGGCTCTGCTCCAAAGCCCTGTCTGTCACCACTTTTCTCACCCTTTGTTGTACTAAGATATCAAGGAATAGTAATAGTGCTAGAAAACTTTGCTTTCAAAAAAAAAAAAAAAAAAAAAAAAAAAAACACGCTCTGTGGACACAGCCACAAAGATTATTTCTGTCCTCCTACTCTGAATGAAAACATTTTTAATCCCACTGTGATGGGTTGGATCACAGAAACCCCCTTTTGGCAACAGTTGGCAGCCCAGACTACTTCTACGCCTGCTTTCCTGCCCTGGCGGCTTGGGACTTCAGTGCCCTGCCTGGTTTGAGCCAGACCCGCTAGCCTGCTGCAAACCCAGACCCAGGTCTGAACCATGTCCCCTAACAGCTGTAGGCTTAATTGAAAGCAGCTTAAGAAGTGTTCCTGTCTCTTAGGGTATGTCTACACTACCGGCCGGATCAGCGGGCAGTGATCGATCCAGCGGGGATCGATTTATCGCATCTAGTCTAGACGCAATAAATCGACCCCCAAGCGCTCTCCCATCGACTCCTGCAGGCAGTCGACAGGGGCGGCGGAGGGGGGGGGGGGGGGGGGAGAGAAAGGGGGCGGCAGCAGTCGACTCACCGCAGTGAAGACACCACTGTAAGTCGATCTAAGTACGTCGACTTCAGCTATGTTAGTCATGTAGCTGAAGTTGCATAACTTAGAACGGTTCCCCCGCCAGCATAGACCAGGGCTAACACTCAGATGCCCAACTCCCAACGGGGTCCAAACCCCAAATAAATCTGTTTTACCCTGTATAAAGCTTTATACAGGGTAAACTCAAAATTGTTTGCCCTCTATAACACTGATAGAGAGATATGCACAGCTGTTTACCCCCCCCCCCCGGTGTACTCTGGGTTAATTAATAAGTAAAAAGTGATTAAATACAGAAAGTAGGATTTAAGTGGTTCCAAGTAATAGCAGACAGAACAAAGTGAATTATCAAGCAAAATAAAATAAAACATGCAAGCCTATGCCTAATACAGTAAGAAAACTGAATACAGATAAAACCTCACCCTGAGGGGTGTTCCAGTAAGCTTCCTTTTACAGACTAGTCTCCTTCTAGTCTGGATCCAGCAATCACTCACACCCCCTGTAGTTACTGTCCTTTGTTCCAGTTTCTTTCAGGTATCCTTGGGAGTGGAGAGGCTCTCCCTTGAGCCAGCTGAAGACAAAATGGAGGGGTCTCCCCCAGGCTTAAATAGACTTCCTTTTGTGGGTGGAGATCCCCTCCTCTCTCCTATGCAAAGTCCAGCTCCAAGATGGAGTTTTGGAGTCACCTGGGCAAGTCACATGTCCATGCATGACTCAGTTTTTACAGGCAGCAGCCATTGCCCACATGCTATCTTGAATGTCTCCAGGAAGACTTATGTGGATTGGAGCCTTCCAAGATCCATTGTTCGTTAAGTGTTTTTTGATTAGGCACTTAATTTGCACATTCCTTTCTCGAGAAGATGACCAAATGCTATACTAAGGCTACTTAAAAAACAAGCAAGTACACAGCCAATATTCATAATTTTTAATACAAAAATGATACATCCATACAAATAGAATGAATAGATTCAATAGATTATAATCTTCACAGAGATATGTTACATGGCATATGTAGCATAAAATATATTCCAGTTATGTCATATATACATTCATAAGCATATTTCCATAAAGCAGGCCTGCACAACTCGTAAAGTGGCGAGGGCCATATTACTCCAAAGGAAACAGCTGAGGGCCGAACTGCCCTCCAGCGCCGCCGAACCCCCCCCCCACCGCCACCCAGCCCCCCCAAACCACAACCCCCCCCCAGCCCCCCCCACCCCCCCCGAAACAACCCCCCCCCCAGCGCCACCCGCCCCACGGAAACAAACCCTCCTTCCCTAGCGCTGCCCCATCGAAACAGCGTTATTGAACCTTGGTAATATGTTATAGCGGGCCCCTAAGGTAGTATAATTAAGGTAAAAGAAAACTGTCTTTTTGCTAGAAGTAGAATAAGATCTTCCCCCCACTTTGTAATCAATTGCCCTGTTGAATGAATGAGGTGTGAATGAGGAAGGCGTGGAAGGCAGGCACCTCCAGACAGCTGCAACCCTTGGAGAGGGGATGGGAGCCAGACCAGATCAGTAGAACAGGTCAGCCACCAACTCACCGCTCGCCTCCTCAGCCCCCCACCCCCGCCGCTGGCTCACCTGCCCCTCCCCGCCATTGCCCACCCGCTCGCCTTCCCCGCCCACTGCCTGCCCACTCGCCTCCTCAGCTCCCCTCCTCAGCTGCCGGCTCACCTGCCCACCTGCCACTGCCTGCCCGCTCGCCTCCTCAGCCGCCGGCTCACCTGCCCCCCCGCCACTGCCTGCCCGCCCGCCTCCTCACCTGCCCCCCCGTCACTGCCCCCCTGCTCACCTCCTCAGCCCCCCGGCTTGCCTACTCACCCCCCGCCACTGCCCGCCTGCTTGCCTCCTCAGCCCCCCCTTTCTCCCTGCCGCCGGCTCACCTGCCCCCCCGCCACTGCCTGCCCGCCTACTTACCCCCTGCCACTGCCCGCCTGCTCGCCTCCTCAGCCCCCCTCCCTCACCCGCTGCTTGCCTACTCACCCCCCGCGGGCTGCACAGTGAGCCCACCCACTCACCCCCCGCGGGCCGCACAGTGAGCCCACACGGGCTGCATGTTGTGCAGGCCTGCCATAAAGCCTTATGGGGTGCACTATCACACCCACCTTCAACACGAATGGTCTTACTATTTTCTTTGAGTAGAACTGGATGAATCTGCCTCAGGTCTGGTCTACACTACAGACCTATACTGGTATAACTAAGTCACTCAGGGATGAAAAGTCCACACCCCTGAGCGACTAAGTTATACCAACTTAACCCCCTATGTAGACAGCGCTATGGGAGAAGCTCTCCCACTGACATAGCTACCGCCTCTTGGGTAGATGGTTTAACTACACCAATGGGAGAGCTCTCTTGTGTTGACTTAAAGTCTTCATTAAAGCACTACAGCGATGCAACTGCGCCAATGCAGCGTTTCAAGTGTAGACTTGCCCTTAGAAATCAATCAACACTACTCCTCATTTACTCCTGGGGGAATTCTGCACAGAATACTGTTTCAGATTGCTTTGCTCCCCTGCAGAAAAACAGGGGAGCAAAGAAGTCTGTGGGGAACACACACCCCTTCCCCGGCAGCCTGGGCGTATCTGCCTGCAGCAGCCAACAGAGATGTAGATCACGCCGGGGCGGGGGGAGAGGGAGAGTTTGAGCATGCATGGAGAGATGTTAAGGGGGCAGGGCTGGGCACACACCTGTATGCAGATCAGCAAAAGAGACTCTGTCCCTCTCCCTCACTATTGTGGTGTCCCAGGCTTGGAGGGGGTAGGGTTTTGTGAGGCAAGCTCTGTCCTGTGAAGCAGAGCAGAAATGTAACAACTAAGCAGGTAGGCATAGGCGTGCGCACGGGGTGTGCCAGGTGTGCCCAGGCACACCCTAATGCAGGGGCGGGAAAATGGCCCCACTCTCCCGAAGCAGCAAGCCCGGCCGAGCACAGCAAGTTGCCGGCCCCTCCCCCACCTTCCCCCCTCCCCTGGAGCCATGCCGCTGCGCACGGAGCACTCTGGGGGCCGGGGCTGCACGCTCCCGCGGGCCAGTGTTTGGCTCCGCGGGTAGACAGACACGTTTCCCGCTCATCTGGAGCCTTGCCGCCACACGCGCAGCATTCTGAGGGTCGGGGCTGCCTGCTCCCGCAGGGCAGCGTGTCTGGTTCTGCGTGGAGCCAAACATGCTGCTAGGAGCCTCATGGTAAGGGGTCCGGGGCCAGGGGGGTTGGATAAGGGATGGGGGCAGTCAGGGGACAGGGAGCAGGGTGGGTTGGATAGGGGGTGGGATCCCGGGGGGGGGTTAGAGGCAGGGAGGCTTAGATAGGGGGTGGGGTCCTGGGGGGCAAGGGTCCCAGGAGGGAGTAGTCAGGAGACAAGGAGCGGGGGGGTTGGGGGTTCTGAGGGGGGCAGTCAGAGAGTGGGAAGTAGGAGGGACTGGATGGGGGCAGGGCTCCCTGGGTGCACACCCTAATAAAATGTACTGTGCACGCCTATGCAGGTAGGCTGCTAATGTTCCCATTGTTGGTTAATTGTTCCCATTCTTAGTCAAGTCTCCCAGGAGCCTAAAAACACATGTAAAAGCTTAAAGGCTCCTTTACGTTGCTAGGGCAGTGAAAAGGAGCCTTATAGTAAATTACAAGTATGGGAATCCTCAGCTAGGAAGATCTATGTGCTTTCTTATTTTTTTCCCCCGCTGCCAGAGGGGTTAGACTGCAGCTCAGGATCTATTTTACCTATCCATTTTTAAAAAGGCAGGACAATGATTAGCAACACTGTATGACTTTCACATGTGAAAGTCTGAGCAATTTAAAACTGCATTCTACTTTACTTTAATTTTGGTGTTCTGTAATGTAATTTAAATGAAAATCCAGGATTAAAACTGGAGTACAGGGTATTGGTTACAAAGTATTTGTAACTTAACTTTTCTGTGCATTAGGAAATGCTGAACAATTATTGTGATTTTCTGTATGGTAGTTTAAATAAATTACCAAAATAAGTGAAACTGATGTGATTATATTGCATTACTTTGACAAATAAAGTATGCAGAATTTTTAATTTTTTGGCACAGAATTCTCCCAGGAATACTCATTCAGCTATTGGTATTCACAGTCCTGCTAA